GTTTTGGTATGTCACTTTGATTTCCTCAATCAATCAAAGGGCATTCTTAAATTAGAAAAATGAGAATCAAAACAACAAATGAGAACCAAACTTTCTTCTTGACTTGTTCCTTTGCCAAGGTTGTGCTCACTTCCACACAGCTGTTAACTCCCTCGTTTCCTTATCATTGTTTGTTTCTGATTCATTGAAGTTAGCGAAAAGACTTGATATGCTTTGGCTGTTTCTTCTCTTTTGCTGTGTCTCCGTTGTTGCATTGCTGTTGTTTTGGTTTTGTTCTGTGATGTTTTCTTTGAGAATTTTTGATAGGTGTTCATTCATCTCTAATTTCTATGGTATAATCTCTATATGTATTTGCTGTGGTGTTATAACCATCTTAGAATTTTAACAGTATATATAGGCTGATAACAATTTCGTTTGTATAGGTGAACACTGCTTCTAGTTCTTCCTCCTACATTACATGCCTTTTTTCCTAGATTGCTTTCTATCCCTGTGATTAAACACCATGACAAAAGACAACCTGTGGAAAATGGTTTATTTAATTGTACTGCTTGTAGTCCATCAATGTGGGAAGTCAGGGCAGAAACCTGGAGGCAGAAGCTGATGCAGAAGCCATGGAGGAATGCTACTGGCTTGCCCTTGCTCCCTATGGCTTGCTCAGCCAGCTTTCTGACACCACTCACAACCACCTGCCCAGGGTTGACCCTACCCATGGGGGTGAGCTGGTCACCCCACATCAATCATCAATCAAGAAAATCCCCACAGACTTGTGGATCTGATGAAGGCATTTTCTCCACTGAGGTTCTCTTCCCAGATAACTCAGTTGTGTTAAATTGACAAAAACAAACAAACAACTCCCAAACCAACCATGACACCTTTCATGTGCCAGTTAGGATACTTGGACATAATTTAGAGTTAATTTGAAACATTTAGCTCTTGCAACTTTCATAACTGGCTGCATATTTATCCAACTCTTTCTGTTGGTTTCTGCATATGAGGTAGAGTGCCTCTACCTGCCACCCCTGGTCCAGTCTTTCCAGACTGGCCTCCTTGGGGTAGATGGAGACTCAGAATGCTTCTCAACTTTTGCTCTTCATAAAATCTGTCTCACTCTTAGTAGTTCCCTGGGAAATTCAAGTGTGACAAGTACATCAGTGTTCCAAGATGTGAGGCAAAGCCTCGTCACTCAAGAAGCTAGAAAGTTGGCTTGGTCCCTGTATGGTCTACTTCCTTGATCCTCAGAGACAAGCCAGGAGCTGTCTTTTTATCCTGACCTTACTCAGTACAAAGCTGGGTATAACATCTAAGGCCCCTCCACACTCTTTCAGTCCTGACTCCTATGACAGGATTGTTAGTCTTTTACACAACTACTGAATACCCTCACTCACCAGCTGTCAGAGGCAGACAGGTTAGCTGGAGCATGGTATTTATTTCTGGGGAAAGTCTGGGCCAGGGGTTGTGGGAAATGTTTATCCACCTACTGCGTAGGCTCTCAAAGTTGTGGTCATGATCAGCTCCAAGGCTAAAAGGCTAATTAAAATTCTGACATATGGAGGACAGCTGGGGAATTTGGGACTTCAGACTAAGATCATTCCAGAAAGCAATGGGAGCTGGGTAGTTTTATCTGCTAGGTGTGCATTGAACTAGAGAAATAAACACTGCTCCTAAACCTCTTTGAAATTGCCTCTTTGATCCCTATGGTTCCTGAGGACTCTTGTCTTTAGGAGCTAGTCCCTTTGATGGGAGCTATAAAAGTTGGAATGCTTGATGTGTGGTCAAACTCCTTTCAGGGAGAGGCTGTAGACTTGGTTTCGTGGGGGTAGGGACCAGGCTCATAAGTCCTACTAATTACATGTACTGCTGGGTCCCACTTGGAAGCTAGTTAAAGGCTTGACTCTGGGGCATCAGCTCTGAGAGTATACAGTCAACCTCTGCATGGGGAAGCTGAGTTGAGGGTGGAGTGTCAATGGATTGCAGTTGCAAGTGCTTACCTGCATGTTTAAAGCCATCTTGTTGTCCTAGATGACTGATAAATATGAACCCAGCCCTTCTCAGGGTTAGATGACTTAGGAGCTAGACTCTCTGTGAGAGCTATAAATATTGAGGAATTCAACTAGTAGACCCACTCCTTGCAGGAGGAAGGTTGGATACATGATTTTGTACCTCATGTGAGGCAGGGAAAGACTGCTGGGGATGCTTGCACAAGACCCATACAATATCATGCCAATGAACAATATTCCAGCATAAAGTAGGGAAGGGCTCATGAAGACCTCACTCCTAGATGAGGATCTGTGGTAGTTGAGGGAGAGTCAGCTTTCTTGTATGTGGCTCCTAGTAGTTCAACCATGTTCCAGTGGCCAGAGCCTCACAGCCATGAGTATATGGGCAGTACAAATGAACTCAGTGGGTTAAAGAAAAGAGGACTTGAGGGTAGGGTGATGGAGGTGGATCTGGAGCAGGTATGGGTGAAGTGGGAGATGAATACAATCACAATACATTGTATACATGTACATAGTCTCAAAGCACCATTAAAAATATTGTATTAAAAATGTTTCCCTGAGATCTTTCTAAGTCTCTGTCTCGTTGACTCCTGGATCAATTCATTCCCTTTGTGCTTTTGACTTATCTTTCCATCTTTAAGTTGTAAAGTTGCCACATTTCTATGCTCTACTTTGGCATCTTATTCTGGGGTGTAGAAACTCTAGTTATGTACTGGGATGTCACAGGAGGTGGGGAAAAGAATAGAGACAAAGTTTCTAGACTCTTCCCCAGACTCTCTGAGTCAGCCCTCCTGATTAAGACTCTATTTGCTACTCCTCTGGTTTGTAGTAAGCTCCCCTAATCCCCAACAAGACATTGCTTTCCAGTCTACCAGCAGGCTCAAGATGTGTGTGACTTAGGAGAATGCTCTCTCTTGAAGTGCACCAGTGGAGATCAGAATTTTATGACAAGAGCAAGATTTAAAATATTTACAAAATAGTAATTTAAGGTCATCAACTAATCAGAACAGACATCAGTCTTAACTATAGCACCCACTTGGACTTGAACCCCACTGTGTTGTTTTAACTGTTTCTTACTGGGTCACAGGGATGTGGTATTGAAGAGGACTCTTAGGGAATTATAGTCAATGGCTGCTTACCTGACAAACTTCTTCAGTATCTCAACTGGTTTGCCTGAACTTGTACTGATGGCTGACCATTAGGCTGGCCTGGAATATCCAAATCCATAGCCCTATAAGGTTATGGCAAAGGTATGATTACATGGTAAGACATGATTATATATTTTTTAAAAATTTTCTGGTTTATAAAGAAAAGAGTCATCTTGTGAAAAATTGAGAAGAAAAGCAATCAGATGAAAGTTAAACTTTTTTAATAGAATAAAATTAAACAATAGTTTCATTATAAGAAACTATTATTGAATATATTTTATAATTTATATATATTTATATAATTTAATATATTATATATTAAATTTAATGCATATATGTACTTTATATATTTGTATATAACTATGAACTTATGTATATAATATATAAGTAAATAAATATAATATAATTTAAATATATCTTATATAATAATAAAAAATTATAATTTATAATATATAAGTAGTTTCTTATAAAACCTACTATTTAATTACTTTATAATTAGCAACACCTATATCAATCTCTCCCTCTACATGTTCAAAATAATCATGTTCTATCATATATTGTATTTATAAAAATATAAATATAATTCATGTCAATGTCAATGTAAATGTTCTTAGTAATATAAGCCTTGTTACGGACTCCAATATTGATTCCAATGTTCACTCCAGAAAAAAAACATGACTTTTAAAAATAATTCCTTGAAAATGTCATGCATGTCTACAATGTACCTTCATCTCCCTCCCTCTAACTCTACTTGATTCCCAACAAATCTCCTCTTTTTTTTTTTTTTTAATAACCATTTGGCCCAGCTGGTGCTGCTTATATATTCATGGGTGTAGGATCATCCAGTGAGGCATGGGTAACCTAGTAATGGTCACCACCCCTACAGAAAAGTGATTCCAGCTCCTTCGCTATGGTGGGGAGGATCAGGAGTCCTTTTGTGACTATGCAGCCAGAGTTGGAACATCTATGCATGCCCCTGCCATCCAGCTCCAAGGCTCAAGGAACACCATAAAGAGTGGACAGACAGAACATATTACCTGAAGGATGTAGAGGAATGCTGTGAAGTGCCAGCCTCTGGACTTGACTAGCAGAAACAGCTGAGGTTACTTACATAAGACCTACACAGTCCTGAACAAGGCCTGTGCAAATCCCAGGCTGTTAGATACATTGACTTCAAAAACAGAAAACCTGTGAAATTCCTCAAGTCCAGGAAGAGGGGTGGGAATAGATTGAGTGTCCTGGGGTTTCTTCTGTTGTTGCTTACTGACTATTTTGGGTTACAACTGACTACACTGTACATATTTTAGCCTGCCTTTCAATGCCTTTGAGATTTCAGAATATTTTATCAGACTTGTTAGGTCTGTTTTCCTTACAGAATGCTAAAACTATGGTAGGCATGATGTGAGCCCAATCAGGGAAGAGCAACACCTGGACTGCTGAGTGTCAGCCTTCACAGACCATCCTCTATGGGAGAAGCTGAAGAGTTCTAAATGTGCACAAAGAGCACAAGGAAGGGAAGATAAAATGATTCAGGAGGAAAGAACGGATGGAGTGAGCATCAACACACTTCGTTTGGGATACTTACTCAGTACATGAACCATGATGAGTGCACTAAGTGTGTAATCCATCAGGAAGTCGATGGGATAAGCCTTAAATTCATTGGGAAAACAAGACAGTGTCTTCCATCAAATGTAGAAAATGTAATTGCCCAATCTGATGATATGGTGGTATGGTTAATAACAAAAAGGAAGGGTGCCCCCAGCAGGGTATAAAAGGGGATCCAGGGCACAGAGATGTCCAGATTCAAGTCATACATTCATTTGGAAATCCATCTTCAATCTTCAACTCAGATACCATGGTTAGCTCCTGTTGTGGTTCTGTCTGCTCTGAGGAGGGCTGTGGCCAAGGCTGCTGCCAGCCCAGCTGCTGCCAGACTACCTGCTGTAGGACCACCTGCTGCCACCCCAGCTGCTCTGTGTCCAGCTGCTGCAGACCCCAGTGCTGCCAATCTGTGTGCTACCAGCCCACCGGCTGCCGCCCCTACTATTCCCATCCCAGCTTCTGTGTTTCTAGCTGTTGTAGACCAAGCTACTTCCAGTCTGTATGCTGCAAGCCCACCTGCTGTGTTTCCAGCTGTTGCAGACCTAACTGCTGCAGGCCAACCTGTTGCCACCCCACCTGCTGTGTGCCCAGCTGTTGTAGGTCGAACTGTCTCCAGTCTGTGTGCTGCAAGCCCACCTGCTGTGTTTCCAGCTGTGGCAGACCTAGCTACTGCAGGCCCATCTACTGCTTCCCCAGATGCTGTGGTGGTTCTTGTTGCTAAGTGTCTTGGCTTGGATCAGTTCTCTTTTTGCCCTTTAGACTATGTTTCTGTTCAATAGGACATGTGACATATTGATGCTATGAACATATAGATTCATGGAATGATTTGGAAAAGCCCAGTGTCTGTTACTATTTATTCTCTTTTAAAAATAACTTTTGGTACTAATACGTCTGAGTTGTAGTCAAATTATTGTTCATGTTGTTTTAGAATTCCTTACTGTTTCAAAGTACAAGTTGTTAACTGTTTTATTTCTAGATATTTTCCCTTTCTAATGTTCTCCCTCCCCCCACCCCCCATTAGATTTTTTTTTTCTTGTAGCTTGCTTGATATTTCCCAATAAAACTTTTAGCCTTCAAGGGCATAAAATGTTCTCATCTCTCATTCTTCTTATTGATTCTTTATTGGTTCAAATTTATTATGCATAGTGCTAGGTTTCACAAGGACAATCTTTTTCAAGCATATCATGCATTTTCAGCCTATTTTTCCCTATCCCCCTATCCTCCTCTCACCTCCTTTCCCTTGGATCTCATCTTCCACGTTCATGTCAAATATACACAACACACTCATTTATCTATATATAATCTAGAATGATAGATAAAAGAAAATATGCAATTTTTTCTTTCTGAATTAGATATATTTGACTTAATGTATGTATTTCCCTGCCAATAGCATAGTTTTATTCTTTTACAAGTTATATAAACTTTGTTGTGTTTATAGCTGACATTTTCTTTATTTATGCACCTGCTGAATAGTGTCTGGTCCATTGAACATGGATCCTTGGTCCAACGAACAACTTGATTATTGTGAATAGCACTACAATACGTACGGGTATACACATCTCCATGGTGTTCTACCTTAGCGTCCTCTGTGTACAAACCAGGACTGGATAGTTAAGTCACATGGTGGGCCTGCTTTTAGTCATTGAGGTATCTCTGTTGGGGATTGGTTCTAATGCTTTGAATTAACCTGGTCCCCCAAATCAAGAATCTGCATGTCCAAACACTGAAGGTCCTTGCCCCCAATTGGTTTTTGATTGATCAATATTGAGCCAATGGTCAATAGCTGGACAAGGAGACTGAGGGGGGACCTTCAGATTTGTGTGGGCTAGGAACTGAGAAAGAGGAAAGGGAGAATCACCATGATTAGGAGGGAGACAGATCAGATTTATTGTTGCAGAAGGAAAATCAGCCAAAATATAGGTGAGAAGAAATGTGGCCCCTGGAAGTGCTGCCCAGAAGCATCATGGGCAAGAAAGTCTAGGGGGCTGCCCAAAAGGAGCCAGGGCAACAAATATAAAATATAGAATTAGAGGGTGTTAATCCAGGAGTACTGGAGGAAAAGTGTGCTAGCCATGGAGAGGATTAGAACTGCCCAGTCTTTGAGCTAGTCAAGGGATCTAAAGCGGTTAACTAGCTGCAGAACTTTATTTCCATACTGAATTCCATAGGGGCTTGACCAATTTATGTTCCTCACCAGCAATGTCTAAGGCTTGCCTTGCCCCATGTTTTCACCAGCACTTATTGTTAGTGTACTTTCTGTACCTTTTGCCTGTCTGCCAGGCTTCCTTCTTTTCTCCTTTCCTTCCTCCCTCCTTCTCTCCCTCCCTCTCTTTTCTCTCCTCCCCTCCCAACCTCCTGTTCCTTCTTTCTCCCCTTCCTTCCTTTCTTCTTCTCCTTTCTTTTGTTCAGAGAGCTCATCCCAAATCTTGTGCACACTATGCTTTCATTTTATCACTGAGCTATACTTTCCTTCAACCCTATTTTATTTTCTTTATGACAATCATTCTTTCTGGAGTGTAGAATCTTTGTGTAACATTTTTCACATGTTTATTGACAAGTTGTACTTGAAATTTTATTCTGTCTACATTTCTGTTTTTTTTCCCCATGACACAGAGGGAGCCTTAGACCTGAAAAATTAAATTGTCTTTTGTAAATAAGACTTTTATTCAAACTGGACTTTATTATCACAGAAAAGTGACTCTTTCATTTGAGAAAGGATTGATATCCAAAAGGATTGATATCCCGATTATGTAATAAACTAAAAGTGTATGCCATTGAAAGAATAAATGATCCAATCTGAAATGAACGAGTAAACTGAACAGACAAATTTTAAAAGAAGTACAAATGGCTGACTAAATGTGTATTTAAAATACACAACATGTCAATTCATCAGGGAAATCCAAATAAAAACTACGCTGAGACTCCTTACCCAAGTCAGAATGGCTGCCATGTAGAAAACAAGCAACAGATGCTGTTGAAGATATGGGGAGAAGTGGGTCGCCCTCTACTAAAGCTGAGAAGGTAAATGAGTGGGGCCATTATAGAAGCCAGTATATAGGTTCTTGGTAGACCAAGAACCAAAACTAGAAAACCTACAATCCTGTTATGTTACTCCAGTACTTATCTGAGGGAAACTGAATCATAATATAAAAGAGATATCTGCAAATGCATAATTATTGTAAAGCTGTTCTCATTGGCCAATATAATGAAATCAACCTAGATATCTATTAACAGGTAAATGAATAAGGAAATTATGGTATATATACAGTGGATGTTATTCAATCAAAAAAGTCATATGTTCAACAAAAATATATACATATATTTGTATATATACAAATATAGAACATTGCGGGGCTTCTTTCTTTCTGTTAAAAATGTTATCGACATCCACTTATTATACTCTAATCACATTAACCTGCATTACCATTCTCTATCTCACTCATTCCTGCAATGGTTACCTTCCTCTCCCCAAATATTCCTCCTTCTACAATCATGGTGTGTGTACATGAGTATGTGCATGTGTGTGTGCATGCATGTGTGTGTGAGCCTATGTGTGTAGATATAATATACATAGATCTATACTCTAAACTTAGCATATGCCAAGCAAGCACCCTATACCACTGAGCTGCACACAGCCCAAATGCTAGACTCTGGATGTGATAGAAAACATGTGACATCTATCTTTCTGAATCTGGCATTTGGCCAGAGAAATAGAAATGCTACACAGGGAAAAGTGTTGAAACTGTGCTCAGCTCCTAGAAGGAAGAAAACCAAAGCCTCAAGTACATGGTAAGCCAGTGTGATGGTTCACCTTGGTTGTCAACTTGATGCACCTTGAGAGAGAGAGCCTCAGATGATGAATTGCCTCCAGTGGATTGGGCTGTGGTTGTGTCTGTGTGGTATGTTCTTAATTGTTGATTAATGTGAGAAGCCACCGTGGGCTGGGCCACCCCATGGTAGTTGGTCTTAGGAGATATAAGAAAGGTAGTTGAATGTAAGCCCGGAAGCAAGCCTGTGAGTAATCTTCTTCTGCGGTTTCTTCCTGTGCTCTTGTTTTGAGATCCTGCCTTTGATGATGTATTGTACTCTGTAAGCTAAAATAAACTTTTTCTTCCTAATGTTGCTTTCGGTTGTGGAGTTTATCATAGCCACAGAAAGCAAATTAAATCAACTTCCTTCTCTGCCTGGCTATCATAACCCTAGGATAAGCCCATGGTTCTCACAATCTTAAATCCAAATATGGAGATTAGGTGTGACAATGACTCCTGCATGTCAGGCCAGCACTGGAGAGAGAATCTATTTTTGTCACTCCCCATACCTCAGAGTGCCATCAGCCACAGTCTTGGGTGAGGACTACTATTTGAGATTCAGCTACTTTGGGGACCTATAAAGAAGGAACAGTCACAAGCCACAGAGCCTGGGATGCTCTGCTCCAGTGTCTAGATGGGAAATGGACACAGAGATAGCCATGTAGAGAGGCAAGGTCAGACGTGGACATGATGAGAAGTTTAGGCAGCCGAGGAGTTGGTGATTGGCAACATGGATGAACATTTCAATCAGGAAACTGAGATTTCTATGGTGGTGGTGGGGGAACAGAAATGCTGAAAATAGTTGTGATATCCATTGAGTCATGGGTAGTCACTAGTCATCAGGACTACTTGAGGGCCATATTTTCACTAAAAAGCAAGATCTTCTGTGGTATTAGACTGGGAACTGTAGTGTGGTCATCTGGGTCTTGCCCCACAACAACTGGGAGAATTCTCCTCCCTCCTACAACAAAAGAAAAAGTACATGACTTTCCAACAGAATGGTGTCACGAGAGCTACATTCTTTAGGGCCAGTACACTATACAGGCTCAGGAGACTAGACAATCTAGAGGTCCAATCAGCAGCCCAGGTTATTAAACTGGCTATATAAGTTTAGCAATAAGGACCATGATTGGAACAGAAATAGGCCAAGTACCAGAGAGCCTTACAGGAGCATTGTGATTCAATTAGGCTTGTTAAGTGCCAGAGGGGAAGGGAATCTCAAAGTCATCGCATCTCCATCTGGTTCTTGAATCTTCCCCAGCAACACCACCTCATCCTTAAGCCTCTCCAATGACTACCACAGGGCAACCCATTCCACAGGTCAGCCTCACAGAGTGAGTCACATGTTGTTCTGAGATGCCCACTTACCCTCTCTCAACACCCCACAGTCCTTTGGGACAGGTCCCTCACACAGAGTGCTTCATGCTTCATGCCATTGATTGATTCTAGTATCTCTTCGTGGAGCCCCGTTTCCTGAGTTTTTTCATTTGTTGCACATTAGTCATGTTGCCATCATCGTATTTACTTTAATCTCCATATACCACATTCATTTCCAGTCTTCTGGTTTGTGGAATTAAGCACATTTTGCAGCTAGGTTTATAGGCTGGTCAGAGAGGAGAACTATGTCTTCTGATAGAAAATACCACACTTTGTGAATGTATGAATATTTGCACACAAGAGCTTTAATGTTTCAGGGTTCAAAGTCTGCAGATGGTTGGCAGAGTGAACTAACCCTGAACTTACTACAGTGTGAAATGTCAAGAATTTGCTATTATAAGTCACATCAGTGTCTTAGGAAGGTACAGTAGTTACTTCTACACCAATAGGTCTCAGCTCCTCTTCTTCTGTGGTTCTTTCTAGGAAGCTCCAGGTAATCACAGTTTGACGATGTAGCTAAGGTTGCCCTCACGTTCATGGATTTCCTTCAGCCTCCCAAGTGCTGAGAGTGCAGGCATGCACTACAATGCCCAGTGTGAACCCATTTTTTTTCTCTTAAATGCAAGAGTGACATGCTAATTTGATATACATATTAGGCCTGGTTAAAAGTTGATAAGGTTGGGCACAATCTCAGGGATTATAGGTTGTTTAAAAATTCCTTAAGAATTTCTTAAGAATTCCTTAAAAATTCCTAAGAAATTTAGATGCATTCACTCTTCCTAATATTGCTCACCTTAATGGTGGTGACCTGGTTAGTTAGTAAGTTAGTTAGTTAGCTAGTTATTTATTTAGTTAGTTAGTTAGTTTTGGGATTTGACTGCCTCTGAAACCATGTTAATCGCTGTTAGTGTTTTCTCTCGTGTGAGCAAGAGTTAAGAATTTGGAGACAACAACTCTCCACTCAGCACAGCTACTCTTTTCTAAATTCACAATCTCCAGACATTCAGAAGAATAGAGTTTATGGGAAGACTGACACCAGCCTGGAGTTATATGTGTGTGTTCTCAGAGAGACCAGCCTAACACAGGCATTATCGTCCAAAGTGACCTGAAATGAAAGATGGCATGAACCTGGAAGATCATGACATAAAGCCAGGATCTCCTTCCTCAGGTCCTCTTGATGTCCTCTGAGCTGGAAATCTGTACCCTATCATCTCCTGTTTGTGGAAACTAGAACTAGAGAGAGAGTAAACACTGATGACAACCCAGACAAACAGCAGAAAAGCATCTGGGCTTTCTGGGCCCAACCCAACATGACAGGATCCAAGTTAAAGCAACAGGCAAGCACACAGTGAACTAGGGTGGGGGTAGGCAAGTATACTCTAAAAGGGGGGGGCAGATGGATAAATGTGGCCACTGAAGCCAGAAAAGACAATATTCAACAATGAAAATCAGCTCCACCCACAGCAATGAGCCAAGAGACTGGATTTCACGGTGTAGCTAGACTTGGTAGCCAGCTTTCCCTAAGAATAAGTTTGGCAAAAAGGTAGCATCAACATTTCATATCTCATTATTGTATCTGAAGACAGTGTTGTATTTCCTGTGTGAAAATGTAAACTCTGAATCACAACTGGCAGGGGATACTTTAGTGTCCCGCTTCTCACATTCAAACTGTTTTTTTTGGGGGGGGGTTGGATTTGTGTTTGTTTGTTTGTTTTTTGTTTTTGACAATCTTACCAGTAACAAATGGGCAATTAAGACTGTACCATGAATTTACTCCCCTGGGTAATCAGAAACAATTATATGCAAGAAGAATCATTGTCACACCAGGATAGATAGACTGTGTCACGTGAACAGAGACTGAAATGTATAACATCAAGAGGTAAATTGTTATGGGGCAGTGCCCTTTGATGATGTCAAGTTAGAAAGGTAATTCGGAAGTGCTGACAGAGGAACTCTAACACATCAGGAAGAGACATCATGTTTCCTACCCATCTGAAAATGTAACCAGGAAAACAATCTTGTTTAATTTTATAATCATATAATATTTATCAACACAGACAATAACAAGGAAAGAATGCTGCATATGAGGACAGCAGCCCCTCAGCAGGGTATAAAAGGGGATGTGGGCAGGAAGACTCCCACTTCCAAACCTTCCAACCCACCTTCTTGTAAACCCATCCAGATCCTCCACCTCTGACATCATGGTCAGCTCCTGTTGTGGCTCTGTCTGCTCTGAGGAGGGCTGTGGCCAAGGCTGCTGCCAGCCCAGCTGCTGTCAGACTACCTGCTGTAGGACCACCTGCTGCCGCCCCAGCTGCTGTGTGTCCAGCTGCTGCAGGCCTTGCTGCATTTCTAGCTGCTGCAGGCCCAGCTGCTGTGTGTCCAGCTGCTGCCGCCCCAGCTGCTGCCGCCCCAGCTGCTGTGTGTCCAGCTGTTGCAGACCCAGCTGCTGTGTGTCCAGCTGTTGCAGACCCCAGTGCTGCCAGTCTCTGTGTTGCCAGCCCACCTGCTGCCGCCCCAGCTGCTGCATTTCTAGCTGCTGTAGGCCTTCCTGCTGCCGCCCAAGCTGCTGTGTGTCCAGCTGCTGCAGACCCAGCTGCTGTGTGTCCAGCTGCTGCAGGCCCAGCTGCTGCCAATCTGTGTGCTGCCAACCTACCTGCTGCCGCCCCAGCTGCTGTATCTCCAGTTGTTGCCGTCCCAGCTGCTGTGTGTCCAGCTGCTGCAGGCCCACCTGTTGCCAGAGCACCTGCTGTCGCCCAGCTTGTTCTAGTTGTTCTTGTTGCTGAGGGCTCTCACCCACAGTCCCTGTTCTCCCCCAACCAACATTCCATATAGAGAGCACCTGCGAGCTGAATGCTAAGACACCAGATGTAAACCCTTAATTCCAGTTGACTAACATGCTGTTTTTGCCTACAAATATACCCTATCTCTCACTCATACTCTCTCTTTCCTATATGAAAGCAACTTTGAATTTCCTTTAGATTCCTTAAAACTATTATGTGACCCCCCATGGAAATACTTGTTATCTGCCATATTTCCTAAAATGGAGTTATTCCTACAACTTAAATAAACGCAAATTTGCAGCCATAGAAATATAAAGCCATTTTGTCTTCTTTTTCCTTTCTGTTGTCATGTACCAGCTCTTCTGTAGGCCATATCTGAAAACAAAAAGAACCACAGGAGGCAGTGGCATGCATGCCAGCTCCTCATCTGCAGATATCTTTATTTGAAAGCATAAATACGGATGCTTAGATCCAGTACCTGGATGTCTCCTGCAGGCAGTCTCCTACAAAGGCCAGGCTTTAGGCAGGAGAGCTCAAACCTCTGTGCTCATGCAGGTACTTAAGGGGATATCAATGGGCATTGTACAGAAGCCGGTTGTATTGAACGGGCTGCCACAACAAGAAGTGTGTGCTTTTTTTGTGTTTAGTAAAAGCAGAACCTTAAACAGGAACGTTTGGAGGAAACATTAACAAGAAAAGGCTCTCCAAAGGAACCTGAAAGAAATTTCTAGGAAATAGATTACAGTAGTAGAGATACAGGGTGCCTTCCATAAATGCCAACCCGCTTGACATCATGCAACAGGAAGATTCTAGAATGCAAGCAGGACTACAGCCCTCCCTTTCTTAGGCAAAGTCTGGCCCTTTCTTTGCACATATACTCAGTTATCACCATCTGTGGCCACTTGGCATAAGAGGAAAGGAACAGACACGTATAGCATATGCGTGTAAAAACGGTTACCCCTGAGAACACAGCACACAGCAAATGAGTAGTGTGAGCCACCTGTATTGTGTGCTCACACTTGTCTAAGGATGAGGACCATTGAGATAAAGGGTAGAGCATCCTTGAGCAGAACATCCTATACCCACCTGTACACCTCCGTCTTCTAGTTACTCCAGCCCATTAGTCAGAATCAGAAGGGAAAGGTACAGTAGGTGTATCAGATGCCTGCCTTGAAAAGCCACATAGGTCATGTCCTGAGAGTTCTGAGCCAGTGGTTATTATATTTTTATTTAACCCTAGATGTTATTCTTGGACATTTACACTTAGCACGCCAACTAAAATTGCCAGTACTGCTCCTTGGGTCATCATTGCTAAGGTATGCTCCTCTCTGTTGATCAGGGTCCCGCCTTCACCATGGTAGTGCAGTCAGTCTCTGTGAATCAGTATCAGGCATCCCGAAGCTCTACATCCTTACAGGACATATTGTGACAAAGGGCGGGAGATTCAAGAGAACTGAGGTTAAAACGGTGAATTTATATTTCTCTCTTGTCTCCTCTAACTTTGATATCTTTAGGGCTCTATTTGCATTCCATACTAGATAATGTTAATCTGACTTCCACCAAGAGTGGTTTTAGCTTTTTATTGATTCTTTGTGAATTTCACATATGCACCCCAGTCCCACCCATCTCCCTGTCCCTTCGTATCCGTCCTTCACTCTTGCAACCTTCCCTACAAAATAAAACACACACACACACACACACACACACACACACACACACACACACACACGTACGCATGCACGCACACACACACACCCTAAAAGAAAAATAAAACAGAAACCATCTCATCATGGAAGCTGTAGTATGTCGCAGGGTGTCTGACACTGTATCCCTGTATCCCTCTGTTCATAAATCTTCACTTGCAAATGTTCATTGTAATGTGTCAATGGCCTGGTTTGAAGTCTCCGGCTTCTGTGACATCATCAATACTGAATCCTCACTGGATCACCTCTCAGTTATCCTGTTGTTGCCCTGTGTCATGGAGATCCTGAAGCTTTGGATCAGCAGGACAGGCCCTTTCTTGCATCCCAACCAGCCCTTAGCAGATGCTATAGATTTGGGGGTGGGCCAATTCAGAGGCCTGGATCTTGGCCTAGGTAGTAGCTGGGTTGCTCAGTGCACCAGCTCACCCTTATCTAGGTCACGCACTCTAGCACTGCTCAAGCTAGGCCACCCAGTGCTACCATCAGCAGGAGGCAGGGTCAGCTCTTCTCAGAGCTGGCTCACCTGCACCCATTGCACCCATGCCTCCAGAGTTAAGGCATGTGGCTCACTCTCCCAAGTGCCTCAGCCTATGAGGCACTAGGCAAGCCCTTTGGCTCTCATATCTTGAGGATGGCTCATCTAAGCCTTTGCTATCAGGGACAGCTTCACTGTGCTGCCCAGGGGAGGTGCAGGGCCCACTCTCTAGAGGGGGACAGAAATAGCTCTCTTGTTCTCATGCCCACAGGGCCAGCTCTTCTGACTATTGTAGGTGGCAAGTGGGGGAGGAGAGGGGAGGGACAGCATCACCCCATCACCTCACAGCAGGTGAGTGGTGGAGCCAGCTCTCCTGGGTTCTTGTCTTCAGGGTGGTTCACCTATGCCCCCTCCACGAGGACCAGCTCTACTGTCCTGCCCAGGCAAGGTACAGGGCCTGCTCTGCTAAGTGCTGCAGCCAGAGATGGACAGGGTCAGCTACCCTCTCTTTTGGTCCCAGGGCCAGGTTTCCCACTGTAACAGATGGTGAGGGGTGAGAAGGAGGGCATCACTCTGGCACCTATGCTATCATCTCATGGTAGATGAGTGGCAGGCCAAGTCTCCCTTGCTCACACCCTCTGGGTCAACTCACCCACACCCCTACTCACACCACCAGGGCCTGTGCTACTGTGCTACTCAGGCTAGGGTCAGCTCTGCTGTGCTATCCAGGTAAGATGCAGGGTGAGAGGGGTTGGGAGAGAGGTATGATCAAAGTACATTGTATACCTAGATGAAGTATCATGAAGAAATCCATTACTGTTCCATTAATACATGCTAATAAAAACATAAGTGAGTACAAATACACTAATATGTATATATCTCTAGGGCCTACAGTAGCAGATATTCCAAAATTGGGTGCCTTTGTCTTATAATTAGGAACACCAGGTTCTCCTTCAAAATCCACGGATTGCTGTGAGTTACATTCCACTCCTGTTCCAGTTACCATTCCTTACTGGTTACCCATCCCATAATTATACCCATATTAATTCTCAGAGCTAAATGGTTCTACCTGGATTCTTTGTGATCTTATCATTCCCATTACTCCCATAGAGCTATATTCTGCAGCAATACTTCCTATAAAAACAAGGATGTTAGTGAATTGTCTCTGCTCTGAATTTCTCCACAATGCTGGTGACCCCTTAATTGCTAATCACTTAGTAAGCAGAGCATCTCTTGGGCTAGACAGAAGTCAAATGCATTTATTGGGTTTATGGCCCTCAAGCATAAGTATATTCTTGCATATCTACTTCTCAACAACCTTTGGTCGCTTCTTCTTTTACTCAGTGTTCTTTGCACTAGCCACTTGTCATTCTACAACACATAGCGGCATCAACACTGCACACTGGTAACTCACAGCGTCTATGGGTCAGGAACAGAAACAGCACTGATGCATTGCTGGCTTCCTAGTAGTTCATAAGCTCCAGAAAAATGTTGATTGGGGTCTTCTTTATGGAGTCAGTCTGAAAGAATTCAAATTTAAGCTCACTTCTATGATAGCCAACAATGCCTTCTTCCTTGACACTGTTGGGATGAGAGCCTCAGTACCTTTGTGGGTGTGGTCTGAAGGTTCTCCAGCTTTTTGTCACATGAATATGTCCCATGTTGGACATGAATTCATCAAAGCCAGTGGCAGAGGAAGAAGCTTCAGAAGAGAGTTTGCTAGCAAGAGGAAGTGACTTTAAAACATGAGGGAAATTTTTTTTTTTGATTAATCATTGAGGTTGATGAACCCAGATCACTCCTGGGCCTGTGGTCCTGGGTTCTGTAAGAAAACAGACTGAGCAAGTCATAAGGAGCAAGTCAGTAAAGCAACACTTTTCTATGGTTTCCTGCATCAGCTGCTGCCTCCAGGTTTCTGTACTGCTTGAGTTCCTGTCCTGATGTCTTTCAGTAACACTTTCCTTCCCAAATCGCTTTTGGTTATGGTGTTTATCACAGAAGCAAAAACTCTAACTAAAACAAATCCCAATGGAGGGCTTGCCTCAACAAGCTATGAACCTCTCCTGTGGTTCCTCCCCTTTCAGATTCACAACCTCCTAATGTTTGCCCTCTGTGCTACAACATGCAGACTGTAACATATAAAATTTGGTGGATGGACTGCATGATCAAAGCTTAGCAACCATATATACCATGAAGTGAACATAACTGAGGCCACCTTTGAAGTTGTCTATCTAAGACAGTATGAAACACTGAACATAATGCTTAAAAACGCATAGAGTGGCATCGTATTGTAGAACATTAAAAACAGTAAAACTAGACTTAATTGTTTAAAATGCATGCTTAGGTGATTGAATTTTGAATGTAAGAAATTTAAAAAGACTACTTCAAAAATTGGGACAGTGACTCTGTGGTAGAGGGAGGGAGTCAGGGAGGGAGGGAAGAAAGGAGGGAAGGTGGGAAGGAGGCGGTAGGTGTGGTCAGGAAAGACATGTAGGAATCCTACTTGAGGAAACAGAGGTTCTCCACTGGGCTTTTGGTAGATAGATACTGTAGCCAGAATTTTTCTACTTTGTGGGTTCTTTCTTCTTCCACCCTTTAAGTGCCCTAACACCAGATAGAGAAAAATGGGTAGAAGGGAAAGGGAGTGATAAGAATGTTAGTTACTTCATGCTGATTTAGGATGTCAAGTTCCTTTGGACAACTTTAATCTTCACCTTAGGATATCTAACTTCTTGCTGTTTCTTCTACGCATATGACTACTTAACAATCTGTAACCAACAACAACCAAGTAACAACCAACAACCTATTCACCACTCCTTGGGGCCTTAGTATTTATATACCCTCTGAAGAGTCTCCAGAATTCCACACATTACACAGTCACAGAAACTATCTGTCACTGGTAAAATCACGCCCCTGCTTGAGCATGAGGCAAATCGTAGTCAACTACTGGGTACAATCAGATGCAACCCCATATCCCACACCTGGGATTAAAGTGAAAACATACTATTATAATATTTCTGTGGTTTTTAAAAGAAACTAAAATTCTCATTACAAGATACTGGCTTAATAATTATTTTCTATATTGAATACTAATATTTCATATACTCTTCAGTATACATGTGTTTCCTATAAAGCCAAATGTGACTTCTGTGATCACTACAACCAGCAGATCTCTGGGAGGCAAGAAGGCAGTTTGGTTTAATATGATTAAGTCGCTGGTGTTGGTGCAAATATTGGTAGTCTGATCCTGATGAGTATTTTTAGGAATATTTAAAGACAGCACAAACTGATGAAAACTTTCCTCGTGATAATTAGCTCAATCCCTTGTGCCCAACAAAGCACACACAAATCTCCTTGAGGATCAAGGTAAGCTAAAGAAAGATTGGAGGTGACTACATTGATGCCATCCACAAAGATAGGGTTTGTTTGGTTTTTTTGAAGATAAACAGGGTTTATTGCAGACAATAGTGGGCACCCCTAAGCATGAGAATAGAAAATATCAGAGGAATCATGGTGACAACTTGCATTTTTATGGAAGTTTTAAAATATTTCCAAAGTCTCTGGAACAGTTTGATTGGTGTGTGTGGTTTCCTGTCCAGATGATTAATGGGCCCATGTAGTTTGAGTGTAACAGAAACGGGTAACGCTTTTGTTCTCTCTTCAGAAGCCTTAGTAATCTTATTCAGCACAATGTTCCCAGATCACAGTTTACATAGGTATCAATTAATGATCCTTTGTCACTTCCTGGTGTTGTATCTCATGCCCAGAAACTTGACTCATATTCCAGTCCTCTCACCAGTTAACTACTAAAGTTCTGGTCCTCAATTTTAGAAGCTACTGATTATCATGGGAAGTCTAGTTTTTCAAGCCCACTAATAGCTAACAAGAGCTTGTAAGAGGAACAGGGTTTATTACAGAATGTAGTGGGCACCCCTGAGCATGAGAATGGACAACCCCAGAGGAATCGTGGTGCCAACCTGTATTTTTATATAAGTTTAAAAATCTTTCCGAAGTCTCTGGAACAGTTTCATTGATGTGTAGGATTTCCTGTCCATATAGTAATTTAATAATTTTTTTAATTTTTAAAATTTTGATTGTATATATTCACTGAACATGGTACTCTTCTATAAGACACTTTCTCACAATATACAATGTATGGTAAGCCCACTCCCCCATACCCTCCCTCTCTGACTAATCTCTTTTGTGACTGTAGCATTTTACTTTTGCTTTCATGTTGTATAGATATACAATTCAATTACCTATATAAAATATAGGGATCACAAATAAAAAGAGACGCACAATATTTATCTGAGACTGGCTTAATTTGTTTAGTATATCTTCAGTTGGATCTGTTTTTCTACAAATGTGTCCAAACCCCTTAGGTCAGTTCCTTAACTTTGCCATTGTGAGCAGTGATGTGGTAAACATGGTTGTGCAAGTGTCTGAATACATCTTTTCCTATCCACATATATTTGAGTGATTTCTTAACTAAATTATCAATATGGAACCCCAAATCAAGAATACATTGTCATCTTAAATTTTGCCTCCAATGTGACTGATTAAAAATACAAATACAAATGATGGTCTAACTTGGCTTCTTTACTAATAGTAACTCCTTATAGTATCTTCAAAGATTTTCCATTATCAATATTCATGTTATCAATATTAGTGTTATTTTTTTTATTTTTGCTTGTATTTAAATTTATTCCATTCAGAATGCATAGGTCCCTTGAATTGTTTCAATTCTCCTTTAAGAAGCAGATTCCCTTCAAGATAGGTTTTATAGATTGATTATATGTGACACCTTCCATAAAAATAGGTTCTATAGATCAACTAAGAAAAACAAGCTCATGATAAAGGAGAGGAACACATGTGGTCTTGGCCACAAGGTACATAAAGGTCATGTGGCTATTAATCACATCTGCTCTCATGCTTCTGGGTAGAAACAGACTACGCATCTCTTTCTTTGAAGGAACAATGCTGTATGTTTAACATTCCAGGTTCCCCTATCTGTGAGCACAAAGATCTCTGTGTCTCTTCCAACCAAATATTTATAACCAGGTATAGATAAGCAACAGGGAAAGATAAGAATAAGCAAACAAACAAGGTAAAATTAAAGCAACGATAGACATTTTTATTACTCCATATATTGTTCTGAATATAGGAATCATTTTACAACAGGCTCAACAATATTATTCAATGTATGTTCTGAAATATGTATGTGAAACTTGATTTTAATATGCAGTAACATAGATGAGTCCAAAATCAGGTCATTTTTTTTTCTCTGTTAAAACTAGCTATTTGTGTCTCTATTTAGATAAAGATATTTTCACACACACACAAAAAGGTCAGGATGAAACATACCTACTTGCAGTATATTTTAGCTACATATAGAATATATAACAGGTATTTATACAAGAAAATTTACATAGCGTAAGTGATACCTGACCAGAAAAGCCTGGTTTGCTTACCACGCCTTTAAAGTACCTATTGCCACCAGGCATCTGGTTACTTGAATTTTCAATTGCATTGATCCTGATCTTGGATTGCAAATGTCAGCTATGTTCATTTCTGTTTCCATAGTGCTTATTTGAGTTCTTTCATTACGTTACCATAAAAAGATAGAAAAATAAATAGCTTTAAGGGGAAGAAAGTTCTATAGCAGGAAACAACTTATTCACAACCTTTCTACTCTGTGTGATGAAAGAGGGATTCGTAAATGCGGTCCAGATGTTAAAACTCAATTGTACTTACACAGATTGTGGGCGGAACTGATCTAGTATGTGTAATGATGATTTCCCCACTTCTGAGTTTCTTTTGTAATGTCACTCAGGGGAAGGATCTCTATACAGTAATTTCTCAATGTACTTCAAGCTAGAGCAGCTATTCTTACCCAGGTGAATCTGTCAGTGTTGGGAATAGCTTACAGCAGGAAAGAGTGTTTTCAATGCTTACAAGCCCATTGTTTCTAATTCAGAATTTCTCTATTAGTCATGTACCATTGATTAAAATTTCATTAATTTGCAATCTATGCTCTTAGTTGAAATGAACACAAATGCATGTAATATAGACAATTAAAGGGGTTGGGTCTCAAACTTTAATGCCGGTTGAGAGACTTGGAAAAGGTTCAGAGTCTTCTGAGGCTTTACTCCAGACCAATTAAATACTCCAGACCAATTAAATAAGGTTAGTTCTGGGCAGAAGCCAAGAACTGGCCAGTTTGCAACAGTCTTCAGGGTGGTTCTACCATGCAGCCAACCATGGGCACTTCTGGCTCAGGAACTGGTAGTATCTATCTGTAGACTATGACAAGAATGTATCTTCTCTTTTGGCACTGGAGAGATGGCTCAGCAGGTGCTGTAGTTGCAGAAAAAGATCAGCCACGTCAAGCACTCACAACTTGCCTTTCCCTCCAGCTCTGATGTCCTCTACTGTCTTCTACAGACAACTACATACATCTGCATACATGTACATGTATGTACACCCTCACAAGACCTACATATGAAAATAGAACTTTAAAAAAAGCCTGAGTATGAGTCATGCCCTCCCCAGAAGCCATAAAACAGTAGATCTTAAAAAGTAACATATTGAGCTTTTTTAGGAGTGTGGAAATGTCTTTCTTAATCTCCTTAAATTTTTATAGAAGTCTATATAACTAACCTTTCACTGGTGCTTTTCTTTGTTATTGTTATATTTTATTAATACACGTGTGTGTGTGTGTATTCTGTTTATGAGTACACGTCCATCCAGTAGAAGACCCAGTTTCTTAGACTGTAAATGATACTGTCATAGAGCTGCGTCACCACAATTTTGGCCTATAGAAGAAGGCCACATAAAATGAGAAGAAAATGAAGAAAGCCAAGATACATGATGCCATGTGATGGCTCTCCTGAAGAAACTAAAACAGGAAAGACACTTAACTGCTGGCTCAGTAACAGTGAACGATAAGCACACCAGGAAAAGGAGCTCTTGTGTTTTATCCACTTTAAATATTTAACCAGGAAAAGACACTTGCATAATGTGGTAATCACCTAATTATTAACATAAACAATAACAAGGAAAGAATGCTGCATGTGAGGACAGCAGCCCCTCAGCAGGGTATAAAAGGGGATGTGAGCAGGGAGACTCCCACTTCCAACCTTCCAACCCACCTTCTTGTAAACCCATCCAGATCCTCCACCTCTAACATCATGGTCAACTCCTGCTGTGGCTCTGTCTGCTCTGAGGAGGGCTGTGGCCAAGGCTGCTGCCAGCCCAGCTGCTGTCAGACTACCTGCTGTAGGACCACCTGCTGTCGCCCCAGCTGCTGTGTGTCCAGCTGTTGCAGGCCCAGCTGCTGTGTGTCCAGCTGTTGCAGACCCCAGTGCTGCCAGTCTGTGTGTTGCCAGCCCACCTGCTGCCGCCCCAGCTGCTGCATTTCTAGCTGCTGCAGGCCTTCTTGCTGCCAACCAAGCTGCTGTGTGTCCAGCTGTTGCAGGCCTTCTTGTTGCATTTCTAGCTGCTGCAGGCCTTCTTGCTGCCGCCCGAGCTGCTGTGTGTCTAGCTGCTGCAGGCCCTGTTGCTGCACCTCTAGCTGCTGCCGCCCCACCTGTTGCATTTCTAGCTGTTGCAGGCCTTCTTGCTGCCGCCCCAGCTGCTGTGTGTCCAGCTGTTGCAGACCCCAGTGCTGCATCTCCAGCTGTTGTCGCCCCATCTGTTGCCAGACTACCTGCTGCAGGACCACCTGCTGCCGCCCAGCATGCTCTAGTGGTTCTTGCTGCTGAGTACTCTCACCCAGTCCCCTGTTCTTCATCACACAAAGTTCCTGATATAGACCATGTGAGTGCTGCGTACCAAGAAGCCCATCATAAAGCCTCTGATACAACTGAGATTGATTTGGACAACAAATATATTTCCACACTCCAGCTTGCTCAGTGTCTGTCTAAAATGAACACACTTGAGCTTTTTAAACTCTTGTGATATTTTGTTCTGTGCTATATTAAAAAAACAAGCTTCCTAATAATAAATTAAAAGTTTAAAGGTACATATGTAAAATGTCATTGTGTCTCCTTATTTTTCTTGCTGAAATTGTCCTCAATTGCCCTTCAATGCCTTAGTAAGATGAGAGTTTATTGGGTCAAATAAGGAACAGTCATGCCACTAGGCTTTTAGACCTCATGACAACAACTATTCTAGCATAGCTACTTTTCTGCACCTTTAGGTTCTTTGTTCCCCTTTTATGGGTGATGAGAGACCGAATAAATATAGAGTCATAATCAATAGTTAGGCTATACCCTCTGAACACATAGCAGCCAAAACAACACATCTGTTTTATAAATTTAATTTTATAAATATAAAAATTATTTGCATATATAAATTAAAACATGTGTAGCCGGGCGGTGGTGGTGCACGCCTTTAATCCCAGCACTTGGGAGGCAGAGGCAGGAGGATTTCTGAGTTCGAGAGTTCGAGGCTAGCCTGGTCTACAGAGTGAGTTCCAGGACAGCCAGGGCTACACAGAGAAACCCTGTCTCGAAAAAAACAAACCAAAACAACAACAACAACAACAAAAACATGTGTTATCTGTTTCTGTGGAATCAGGAATAGACAGGCTGCATTGTCTGTGTTCTTGTGTGTCACACAGCTTCAGAAAAGGTGTCATCTGGCACTGGCGTCTAATGTGATGGGCAACCTGGAAGGGTCCACTTCCGAGTTCATGTCTGTGGTTGCTGAGAACATTTGCTCCCTTGACAGCACTGGGGTGAGAGCCTCTTGTTTCCTACACGGCAGCTGGATTTCTCAAAGCTAAAGGATGCAGGGAGAATATGCAGAGAATTGGTCACCAAGAGGAAAGTCACAGTTTTGTCACTTCTTCCTTAATTGTTGTCATGTGTTGTTAGCTAGAAGTAAATGGCTCACAAATGGGAGCCATTCACATCCTGTGAAAGAGCAGGTAGAGAGAACTGAGGGCCACATTAGGGGCACTCTGCCTCCAGGTAGAATATAATGTCGAGCAAAAGAGGGGAAAGTACAAGTAGTGATAATCTATGCAATACTCACAAAATTTCTGTAAAACTAAACTATGCTGTTTATAGATATCTATTAGAGGGCTAAGAGACCCACAGCCAAATATTTGGTGGAGCTCAGGGAACACTGAGGAAGAGAGGATAGAAGGATTGTAGGAGCCAGGGCATCAGAGACTCCAGGAGAACCTGGCCCACAGAATCAACTAAGCAGGGCTCTTAGAGGCTCACAGAGACTGATAGAGCAATCATGGCACCTACATGGGTCTGTGCTAGGTCCTCTGCATATATGTTGTGATTGCTTAGCTTGGGGGTTTTGTGGGACTTCTAACAATGGGAGTGGGAGTTTCTCTGACTCTTTTGACTGGTTTGGGGACCCTTTTCCTCCTACTCCCTTTGCCTCGTCCATCCTTGACACAGCCAGGTTTGTTCTCAGTGTTATTGTATTGTGTTGTGCCATGTTCAGTTGATATCCCCAGGAGGCATGCTCTTTTCTGAAGAGAAACTGAAGAAGAGTGGATCTGGGGGAGAGGAGAAGTGGTGGCGACACTGAGAGGAGTAGAGGGAGGGGAGGCTGTGTTGGGATGTATTGTATGAGAAAAGAATTTTTTAAAAATTCCAATAACAAATCCCCTCAGAGAGAAAGAAAGAAAAAAAGAAAGAGAGAGAGAGAGAGAGAGAGAGAGAGAGAGAGAGAGAGAGAGGAAGAAAAGAAGAAAGAAGGAAAGGAAGAAAGAAAGAGCGAAACAAAGACCAGCTGGAGTCCTGAGACAGTGAGGCAGTGATTCCTTGGGGTTGTGTGGCTAAGGATGTAGTCAAGACATAAACAGCCATGCTTGGAAGCCTCTTTTGACTTCCTTAAAAGCTACAGTGATGCAAATGGACACATATATTTCTAGTATATGCAAGTTTTTATAATAATAAAGATTATTTCCAAACAAATGAACTGAAATATTTAGCTATGTTTGAACAGCAAGATTAGATTAAGCAATGAAAATATTTTAAGAGCAAGGAGGAATCAAGCAATGGTTGGGGATTTTTAATACACCTATTACTTACTCTCAAGACTGATAATACTGATTATATATATATATATATATATATATATATATATATATTCATATACTCATATACTCATATATTCATTCATTCATTTAATATGTTCATTCATTCATTACACATTCATTCATTTATTCAATATATATTCATGAGTACTTAATGGAGCTTCTTTTTTTTGTAATGAAAATATATGACTGTTTTCATACAAAATTAAGGTACAAAATTTTGGTTGCAAAGAAATGGGTGGACCAGTAATATCTTGTATATTCCATGAGAAGTGAAGTCATATCTTAAAAATCATACAGAGTTTTGCTTTTCAGTCATGATATGTCTTTCATTGATTGCATACATTTTCTGGTTCTCTACTCTATTTGGATTTTTAATTACAAGAAAGTTAATTGTATTGGAAATATGTGACTTTCCACTGGACACAGTTATTATATTCTCTGTATAGATCATGAGGTTACAAATAAGACACTCCTAGTCATCTAATTATCCATTTTAGCTACAGACAAGATTTATGCCAAGAATTTCTGGGGAAAAAATGATTGTATATACTAACACAATGCTTGACAAGCTATAATCTCAGCCTGTGCCAGGCTTTGGAAAGACACCACCTAGCTCCTAGATGCCAAATAGAGTTGTCTCTTGTCTATTCTAATTGCACTGATGTTATTTAGCTTCTTTCTTTCATTAGGATATTATAAAAAGGTGAAAAAAGTTTAAAGGGAGATAAATTACTCAAGACATTAAACCCCACCTACATAACCAAGTCCAGTCCTGGTCGTCATTACAAGGTTCTGGTTCATTACATTGCCATCAATCATCCATTACGTTTGCTAGACTACCAGAGCAAGGTTCAGCAAGGGCTATGTACAGCGATTTCTGCCCATGTGGGGCTTCCTCTCTAATAACCCAGGGTGCCATCTGTAGCAATGTCTCCCTAGGCTTAAGTTCCACTGTCAGTGCTATGAGTTTGTTAGTCTGCAATGCTTAGAGCTCAGTGTTCCCAATTTAGGGACATTTCCTCTGTGGTTTAGATGCCACTGAATGAAACGTAAGTGATTTTGCAAGTTCTCTTTTGAACAGAAACAGCAGTGTGTTGTGGAAGATTTAAGGAGAGGGACTTCAAGCTTTGTTGCGCACTGGAATAAACTGAAGAAGTTTATAAACAAGGTCTACTAGAACCTACCAGGTGAGCAGCTCTCTTGGAAAAGAGTTGGGCAAAGGCAGTTTTTGACACTTCCCAAATGATTTGATCATGTGCCCAACTAGTTTAGTAGTTGTTATTGTTTATAGATTGTAAGGGGAATGTATTCCACTATTTTAGTTGTTGAGAGTGTGCCTGATTTCATTCTCAAATGTAGTTTTCAGAGTTGGACTTGACCACAGGCCCTTATACATGCTAGACAAGTGTTCAGCAACTGACTTAAACCCCCCACTGCAAGAAGATTCCTTAATTTCCCTGAATCTATAGAGAAAAATCTCCTCTAATAACCAATTGTGTCTTTACTTTTTTACTCAGTTGCTGTGATTCAAGCAATTTACTACTATGGACATACAGATGTGTAAGTCTTTCACTTTCTTTAGCAGAGAAAAGCCTAAAGTAAAAGCATGACAGTTAAGAGTTTGCATAGCAAGCCAATGAGATGAAAGTCTTGCAGTGAGACTTGTCTTTAAATGATCCCAATGATGAGATCATTACCAGCTAGTTTCTGTTTCTTCAGCCTAAGGTAACAAGAGGAGGAAGAACATCTTCTTATCAGAAACTCTAATCACCTAGCCAGTTGGATGGGGATTTTGTACCCTTGAAGTCTCTATTTTGACCACAGTATGAACAGATGCAAGCTAACATCTTTTCATCTAAACACCAATCAATTTCTTGTTACATAATTCTTAAAGGAAAAGCTTAAGGGAGCACTCCAGTCGACGATTGAAACCACCAAGCAGGAGAGTCCTGTGCGTCTGTAAGACCCAGGGCCTCAGCTAACACAGGAAGACCAAGGGCAAGCTAAACTGGTTCCCAACCTTCTAATGCTGTGATCTGTCAGTAGAGTTCTGCATGTTGTGAGGACCACCAACCATATAATTGTTTTCATTGCTACTTCATAATTGTAATTTTCTACTGTTATGAATAGTAACATAAATATCCATGTGTCCTGATAGTCTTAGGCAACCCCTGGGAAAGACAACCTCCAAAGGGGTTATGGCACACAGATTGCAATCATTGAGCTAGAGCAAGAGTTAATGACACGCTGTCTCACAGGAGTTCTGATGGCTTGAAACAAGATGTTATGGCTGCCAGGATCAATTAGAGACAGACGACAGATGACTAAAGAATTAGGCCAAGGGGAACAACTTAAGGACCTTCATTTTATGGTCTAACTCTACTTTGCAGGCAAATTCTTTTTGCAAAAAATGGAAGAAAGAAAGGAAAGAGAGAAAGAAAGAAAGGAAGGAAGAAAGAAAAAAGAAAAGAAAGAAGAAAGGAAGAAATCCAGCCCAACATTTTACCATCCAGCTTACCATCAGGAGGTTATTCTATTCCCAGTTTAAAAATAAATCTGGAAAGTGGATCATAGTCTACACAGGGAGGTATCTGATGTCTAACCTTGACCCACCTGAGTCATTATGATGAGCCATCAAATTAATACAGCTTCATCCTCCTCAGTCATAAGGTAAGATCTTTAGGAATCATAATTACCTAAGTAAGAGTGGACAGTTGTGCCATGTTGTAGCATGAGACAGAAGGACAGAATGACAAGACACATAGTGTCTGGTGAAAATCTTCTAGAAGGAAGCATCCGTAAGATGCTGAGCAGATGGTCCATCAAGAGCTCACAATGAACCCTAAGAGACCAGGAAAAGGAAACTCTTTTTCATCAACCTTGATAATTTAGTCAGGAAAAGAAACATGCCTAATGTGATAATCACCTATTTATTAACATAAACAATAACAAGAAAAGAATGCTGCATGTGAGGACAACAGCCCCTCAGCAGGGTATAAAAGGGGATGTGGGCAGGGAGACTCCCACTTCCAACCTTCCAATCCACCTTCTTGTAAACCCATCCAGATCCTCCACCTCTAACACCATGGTCAACTCTTGTTGTGGCTCTGTCTGCTCTGAGGAGGGCTGTGGCCAAGGCTGCTGCCAGCCCAGCTGCTGCCAGACCACCTGCTGTAGGACCACCTGCTGTCGCCCCAGCTGCTGTGTGTCCAGCTGCTGCAGGCCCAGCTGCTGCCGCCCCACCTGTTGCATTTCTAGCTGTTGCAGGCCTTCCTGCTGCAGGCCCAGCTGCTGTGTGTCCAGCTGTTGCAGGCCCCAGTGCTGCCAGTCTGTGTGCTGCCAGCCCACTTGCTGCCGTCCTAGCTGCTGCATTTCTAGTTGCTGCAGGCCCAGCTGCTGCCGCCCCACCTGTTGCATTTCTAGCTGCTGCAGACCTTCCTGCTGCCGCCCCAGCTGCTGTGTGTCCAGCTGCTGCAGGCCCCAGTGCTGCCAGTCTGTGTGCTGCCAGCCCACCTGCTGCCGCCCCAGCTGCTGCCGCCCTTGCTGTGGTAGTTCCAGCTGTTGTGGATCTAGCTGCTGCCGCCCCACCTGCTGCATTTCCAGCTGCTGCCGCCCCAGCTGTTGCAGGCCCAGCTGCTGTGTGTCCAGTTGCTGCAGACCCCAGTGCTGCATCTCCAGCTGCTGCCGCCCCACCTGCTGCATTTCTAGCTGCTGCCGCCCCACCTGTTGCCAGACCACTTGCTGCAGGACTACCTGTTGCCGCCCAGCATGCTCTAGCTGTTCTTGCTGCTAAGCACTGTCATCCAGAGTCTCCTGTTGTTCCTCCCCCTGTGATGTAGACCATGAGTGAGTTGAGCTCCAAGATGCCAATCAAAGATTCTCTTCCAACAGATAATGATTTTGGCCTCCAAATATACTACCCCTACTCCTGTCTGTTTATTACCTGTCTCTAAAACACCAGAAGCTTAAATTTTCTTCTAAATCTGTGAAGTTTGGCGTTATCCCCATGGACAAATTTGTTCTTTACCATATTCCTAAAAATAGACATCCTCTTATATATTAAATAAATTTGAATTTGCAGGAACACAAATATGAAACATGTCTCATTATTTTTCCTCTCAGATTATTTTCCTCATCTGTCAAGTTCTGAAGTTGATCTCTAAGTACAAAGATAGCACATGAACTCAGATGTGCTAACTCTGATCCCATGGCACACCTCCTCCTATTCAGAAGGATGCTCTCATAGAGTAAAGTTCTCTGTGCTGAAAACTTTCTCTGGTTGAAGGGACAGCAGTAGGTAGGAGATTGAAGACCCTTGGACTGAGTTCTCTCAGTGAGGGGGTTGGGTGAGCACAAGCTGTTACTCATGCAGTCAAGAGACCACACATCACACAGCTTTCTCTAGGTCTTCAGTGGCATGAAGCCCAGCTGCTACTGGAGGTGTTCTGCTCACACCAGTCCAGTTGACTTCTGTCATTCCCTAAGTTCACCTCAATACTTCCTGAGGTCACTTTCCTGATAAACTCCTTTTCTCAACTCCCTGTAGAGAGGCAGGCAGCCCAAGGACAAGCAGCCTAACACCATATTTCCAACCTCAGTGCCCCTTCCTCCCATAGAAGTCCAATACAATACAGAGAGCTCCATGGCTCAGGATCAAGTCTTGATTTTTGCTTCAGTGAACTCTTAATCTTCTAAAGATATTGCCTATTTATTGATTATTTTAAACTCTTTTTAATAATTGAGTTTTAATATATATTCTGGATATTGATTTCTCTGGCCAATAAAGAACTGCCAAAGATTTTTTTCTTTTTCCAGCTTATCTCTTTTGTTTCTTTTGTGATGAGACCCAATTTGCCAATTCTTACCATCATCGTGAAATTTTCTTCTTACATTTTTCTCTTGTGCTTTCAACTTTTCAAATTCTGAGTTAAAACATTTTATCCATTTTGAGTGAGCATTTGTCTAGGGGAAAAGGCAAGGTACCCAACTCAGTCTTCTGCATGTAGATATCGTAGATCTGCACAATTATCTACTCTTACGATGCACTGTCTGTTATGGCTACCATGCCTCTACAAGCCAATTAGAGGCTGAGTGTGCTGCCACAACAACTAATTTAATGAGATAGAAAACAGTAAATCAATTCCATTACCCAAAACCTCCAAATATTCCCTTCCAAATGAAATACCAAACCCCACCTACAATTCTATGGATTTCCTTAAAATTCCATGAACTGTTCCTTGTATGTTTGTAAGGAAGGAAAAGGAGGAGGAGGAGGAGGAGGAGGAGGAGGAGGAAGAGGAGGAGGAGGAGGAGGAGGAGGAGGAGGAGGAGGAGGAGGAAAGGAAGGAAGGAAGGAAGGAAGGAAGGAAGGAAGGAAGGAAGGAAGAAAGAAAGAAAGAAAGAAAGAAAGAAAGAAAGAAAGCAAGCAAGCACAAACTATCAGAAATAGACAAAACTGTCATGAGTGCAAAGAACTTAGGTTTTTGTTATTGTTTTGTTTGTTTTTTGCTTTGTTTGTTTGTTTTTGTTTGGTTTGGTTTGAGTTGGTTTTCTTTTCTGCTATCAGCATTTTCTTATCTATGTTCAGCTGTTGGGTGAATGGCTACAAATGTTATGTTTAAGGATGTTTGTATCTAAGCTGTCAGAGGAGGAATACTGAAAGCAAGCAAATCAATGTCTTGGGCTACAGGATGTGGTAAATGTTCACTACTTTCATTGACAAGCTGTAATAAATCAGATTAAAAGGATAGCTCCCAGACTTCTAAAGGGGATTGTGTTAAGAGTCAATAAAAGCATCTGAAGCTGGAATTTTGTTTTAATTTTTTTCATCCAATACATTTTGATTATGGTTTCCCTTCCCCCAACTCATCCCAGGTCCTTCCCAACTTCCCACCCACACAACAAAAACAGTTTAATTGCACAGTAAATTGTGGATATTATATAAAGTTAGTTATGAAAGATATAACACCCTATGCTAGCTTGAGCAGACAACCTTAAAATTCCACCAATTGCTATCAGTTTTCTAGTATTTCAAGATGTATGTAATGCCTCCTCCTCACGCCACTTGCTTCCAACCAGCAGCAAATTGCAACATTCACTGATGAATTGACAGGAGGTCGAGGCTCTCTCGTTGGTAGCCAGCTCTGTCATCCAGGTTATTCCTCTATCGTTGGCTTTCCATGAACTCATACCAAGTGGGAGAGATTCCTGTGCCAAAACAAACAAACAAACAAATGAACAAACAAAGAAACCACCAGATACTAGCCTTGGCTCAGCACCTGACAAAGACTGAGTCTCTGGCTTCAGCTGCTTTGAGGGACTGAACACTTTTAGCTACAGCATAAGTGATAGCATACATGATCATGGAACCAGATCCTTTCAGGTGATTTCCTCACATGTGACCCCAATGCCAACTGACACTTTTGGTGAAACCTTGGAATACACTAGGAAGCCTGACAGCACCTAATAAATGAAGTACAGAAATTGTGAGATAATGAATGTGTGAAGTTTTTTTGTTGCAACATTTTAAGGAAATAGAAGAGATGTAAATTGCTAATCAATATTTACTGGGTCCCGTACAACACATAGAATGGGAGGAAAGGAATCAAACTCTACAGAGAAACAGATATGTTGGAATAGATGTATTCGTAAGCTCCCAAGACTCAACAGGCTGTTTCCTCGGTGGCCTGGAGACTCAGTTAACTAAGGTGGTATGGGAAGAGCAGACAGTGAGGTGAAGAGAATCACAGAGAAACAGCAGAATCAAACGAGAGTTGGAGCTTTGATGGCAAATATCAGAGTAGATTGTAGCTCTCTGGGAATAAAGGGATAAGATCACAGATAGCCCAGGAGAACCACGTAACTATCAGAATTAATGTGGGACAGCGTGGAGCACTATTACTCATGGGGCTGTGTGGGGACAATTAAGAGATTTTTAGAGTAGCTCATAATTCAAAATAGGCAGCCAAAATTGTCATGGCCATAAATATAGGCTCTGGGTTTTCACAAATATATGAAACTAAACCTACATGAAAATTTATCTTTTAAGAGAGTTTAATAATAAATGAATAAGTAAATATGATATGTATTATTTAATTGGAAGAATATGACCCTTATTCTATAAGCTACTCTTGATTTATTTCTCTAATCTCTGGGTCATCAGTTAAAACAGGATGATCTTGCAGGCTAATAGACCACTTCACACACTCACATACACACACACACACACATACACACACACACACACACACACACAGAGAGAGAGAGAGAGAGAGAGAGAGAGAGAGAGAGAGAGAGAGAGAGAGAGATCTAGGATGGGCTAAGGCTAGCAGGTGGCCTTCCTAAAGGTTGTATTTTCACATTGTCTGCAAGAATGAGCTCAAAGTTCAATGGCAAGGCTCCAAAGAGACTTCATCTCATGTTTGCTTCTTGCAGCTAATATGCCTTTCTTGTCATTATTGAATTAATATAGTAATCCCTGGGCATTAGCTCAACCTATTGATCAGATTTCCTGCAGGTCAACATAGAGATGAATTTCCATGAATTAATGCTATTTAGATAAATTAATGATACTATAAAATTCTTGATTTGATTCAAATAATTTTAGGGAGAAAGTTTTAAGAGATGGTCTTAGTTGCTTTTCTAGAAAGATGCAACAAAGTTAGAATCAAGAAAAGAATGTGCCCAATCCTCATATAGTAAATAAAAGGTGCATAATAAGAAGTACAATGAGCTTTCACAGTTACACTAAAAAGAGAAATAGACCTGGGACAAATTTGTGTTGAAGGGAAAACATTTAGGTCCAAGGATAAAGCCACATGTGTGCACTATCATAAGGCAAGACCATGTAAAAAGCTGTTGCTTTGGACTTATGATGAACATATTAAAAGGAAACACTGCTTTGAACTTAATATCAACATTCTTCTGTAACTCCCATTTTATCTAACATTTTATCTCTGAGGTAATTTTCTAAAGAGCTTTTTGTCTAAGAGGTATAAAAAGGCTGGTCAAATGGTTTGGCTTGAGGAACTCTGCTCCATCCACGCACCCACCCATCCACCCAAATGTATATGTGTGACCGCACATACATGTGTAGGTATATGTGTGTGTATGTAAGCATGCATGAATAAGGCAGGCGGTTGGGCCCAGCAGAAGTGTGAATTTGTTTAAGTGCAAATGAGAATGTAAATGAAAACGTAACCGTATGTGTGAATGTATATTTGTCTGTACATAATTGCCTGTATAAAGCCCGTGTTTATGGGGACCTACTTAGAATAGTCAAGTCCCAAAAATAAACCCAGTGTGTATCTGCAGATGCACACAATGGAGAATTATACACCCAGCAGGAAAAATAAAATCCTGCTATTTGCAGAAATAGAAGCACAGCACACAATGTTACGCAAAACAAGTGAGCCTCAGGAAGAGAATCATGGGATGTCGTCTCATATATGTAAAATTTACCCCAAAAGGACTGAAAAAGTAGGAGAACTGAGCTGGAAAAGGATTAGGGTCATCAGGAGGGCAGAGGGGTTATGACTGTCAGGGAGGATAAGCCAGCACACCTGAGACAGGATCCCTTTTTATACATATGAAAGTGTCATAACGAGATCCCTTATATTGTTAAATTATTAAATACTAAGTAAAAACATTCTGACTTTTCTTTACATCAACAAAAAGACTGAAGATGGCTAGTGTAACACAACCGTACAAATATTGAACTCCATCTACAGGTTCATGAGATAGATCAAAGCAGTAAGCAGCAATCCTGAGATTCGGCCTTGAAACCAAACAGTCATTGTGTTGTCTCCATATGGGTGCTGAGTGACACACGCATAGGGGCATGGGATCCTTGAGTTGCTTCAGCCTTGAGGCTGTCTCAGGCATGGTGGAGAGCAGTGGTGGACCTGAAGAAGTTACTTGGGTATTAAAATGGAAAAGATCATACCAGGCAAAGAGGAAGCCACTGGGGAACACAAAAAGCAGAACAGCACGGGAGACAAGTAGCTCCTGTGACACCCACGGACTCAGGACAGTCACAGTGACACCCTTCTTCTTGGGAGGAAGTGTGGGAGAGCATGTGATCACTGCTGGAGCTCTGTGTTCAGTGGCTTCACTCTCCGTTCCACAGAGCACTCTGCCACTGGAGGTGATCAGGGGGATGTGTGTGCGTGCCAAGAGATCTTCCTATATAGGAAGATGAATGCAGAGGGAACAGGGCAGACACTCCTGAAGTCATCTGCTGTGCCCTTGGCATTGTTAGAGATGAGCCAAATAAGAAGGAAAGATGAGACAGACGTATGCTTGTAAAACTATGATTTATTTAAGATATGGGGGGAGTATTTGTTTTTGAAAATGGGGAAGGAAACAAAGTATGGGGATGAGATCTGTTTACAGATTTCACACGCAAAAAAATCCATCTTGCGTTCATTGACAAAGAAACAGGGATAATGTAGTTAGAAGGTTAAAAATCAGTATGTTAAGAGAGAGGCTTTGAGTGGCATCTTGGGCTTGCGTTCACACATGGTCTACATCAGGACTGCTGGGTGATGAAGAACAGGAGACTGTCGGGGAGAATGCTCAGCAACAAGAACAGCTAGAGCATGCTGGGCGGCAACAGGTGGTCCTGCAGCAGGTGGTCTGGCAACAGGTGGGGCGGCAGCAGCTGGAGATGCAGCACTGGGGTCTGCAGCAACTGGACACACAGCAGCTGGGCCTGCAGCAGCTGGAAATGCAACAGGTGGGACGGCAGCAGCTAGATCCACAACAGCTGGAACTACCACAGCAGGGGCGGCAGCAGCTGGGGCGGCAGCAGGTGGGCTGGCAGCACACAGACTGGCAGCACTGGGGCCTGCAACAGCTGGACACGCAGCAGCTGGGGCGGCAGCAGGAAGGCCTGCAGCAGCTAGAAATGCAACAGGTGGGGCGGCAGCAGCTGGAGGTGCAGCACTGGGGCCTGCAGCAGCTAGACACACAGCAGCTTGGGCGGCAGCAGCAGGAGGGCCTACAGCAACTAGAAATGCAGCAAGGCCTGCAGCAGCTGGACACACAGCAGCTGGGCCTGCAACAGCTGGACACACAGCAGCTGGGCCTGCAACAGCTGGACACACAGCAGCTGGGGCGGCAGCAGGTGGTCCTACAGCAGGTAGTCTGGCAGCAGCTGGGCTGGCAGGAGCCTTGGCCACAGCCCTCCTCAGAGCAGACAGAGCCACAACAGGAGCTGACCATGGTGTTAGAGGTGGAGGATCTGGATGGGTTTACAAGAAGGTGGGTTGGAAGGTTGGAAGTGGGAGTCTCCCCACCCACATCCCCTTTTATACCCTGCTGAGGGGCTGCTGTCCTCACATGCAGCATTCTTTCCTTGTTATTGTGTTAATAAACATGTGGTTATCAAATCAAGCAAGTTTCATTTCCTGTCTAAATTATCAAGGTAGATGGAAAACAGTTTCTTTTCCTGTGTTAAGAGTCACCATCAGCTCTTGATTAACTATATCCTAAATGTCTTCCTTGCCTTAATTTCTTCCAGCTGTCACATGACCCTGTGTGTCTAGTCACTATATGATTCAGTCTCATGGTAGATGGCTCTGCTGTCTGCCCTTAGATAATCATGATTACTAAAGACTCAAAATTGTTTCTAGTAATGTTGGAGGATAAAGATTCATCATTCCAACAGCTCATCCACAGTGGGACATGTGGGTACTAAGGATTTGAATATCAAAACCACAGACATGAACAAAGAAAGATATTCCCCCTCTGACTCCTACATTTTCTGTACCAATTTCAAAGTGGGAAACTGAATAGGGAAATGTGGATGTTTATCCACAACCCCCCTTTTGTCAGAAAACCTTTAATTGCTGTTTATGAGGCCTGTATTTCCTGTGGGTCACAGACCTCAAGTGACCTCACAAAATTCAGGTCTCTCTGCTCTGGCCACTGGAATTATTTCTTTCCATTTTTGTCTACTGTCTTTCGCTTAACAGAACATATGAGGTTATACTCTAACTTTTCCAAAGTTTACCTTGCAACATTTAATTAGGTAACACTGCCACTTATGCTAATTTAAACCCAAATGTTATGTTTTCTGATGGATCTGAGCTGGAGACTCTCCTGTTTCATGTTTCTAGTGGTAGACTAGACTCCCTTCTTAATGTACATTTTATAAATGTATATACATATGTATGGATTTTATGATTATTTGTTACACATACATATGTGATATATGTATAATACATATATGATGTATGCATTCATATCAAATAGTTACATATTTAAATACACATTTAAATATTCACATATTTAAGTATGCAAATATTTTAAGTGTGCATATGTAACATATGTAAATTGAATGCTTATATGTATCTAATGCTGGACACAGTAAATGCTTAAAGGCCATGAGCAACCATCCAATCAGCCAGATGAATTATCTTTCAAAAATGAGCAATGCTTCAGTCCCTCTGCTATCCTCTGTTAGTCAAGAAGCAGACAGACAGGGAGTAACAGCGTAATAATACCATTACGTTTCTTAATTAGGACCATTTAGTGGCCAGGACTTTTGCAATACTTTTATGACATTAATTTGCTCAGCCAACACTTAGTCTACAGTCTTTTTCTCATATTCTGATATTTGTAGAACTTGAAAAGATGAAGGATTTAAATAAGTATATGTCCTGGATGAGAGTTTCCCAGGAATGCTACAGTAACAAGGACACCTCTGCTTCCACGTGATCATGCGTAGGAAGATTTCTTGGTTACTAGTAGAGTTATAGAGCCCATTCCCAGCTTGCACATGTAGAACATAACTCCTGTACCTAAGGCTGGAGATCACTGTTGGAGAGGGAGTAGAAACATAGCTACAGCCAGAGCTTCAGGGAATTTGCTGTGAGATTGTGACTCCTAGGAATGTCAGAAGCTCCACCCATAGAGTCTCACCAACATTGCTGCCTAAACATGAGTTGAACCACAACAACGGCGATTGACTTGTGGACATGGATGGGGGAAAGCTCATAATGTCTCAACCTTACACAAAGCAGTACAGGGAACTTAGGAATGATCCAAGTGGGAGAATCATCTTTCCCATGGAAGAATACATCAACTGGCTATCCAATGCCATATTGTCATCTCTGAAATACATGCATACAAGTAACATTACACAGGCTGAACAGTTTGTATTTATGTATTCAAGAATTTATATAAACACTAATCATATATATACACACAGAGAAAATGGTATAATTGTATTATAACTTCAAAACACAAGACAGCAAAAATCATCATCATCATCTTTTGGGCTGAGTATATAGTTCTTTGGTACAAGGCTTGCCTAGCACCACACAAAGTACTGGGCTCAAAGACATACCAAAATTTAAAAAAATGAATACCTTTTCCTCACTTAAATAGGCAGAGTAATATTCTCATTGTGGGCTAGTATAGAGATACCCATTGTCTCTAAACCAGTGCTTCTTATGTTTGGCTGCATGGGAGACATCCACAGAGGATTATAATCTGTCAAATTCTGTCTCATGCCCTGAACAATATCCTTTTAACTAGTCTGAGTATCAGTAACTTTTAGAAGTTCACAGGAGATTCCAGTGAACCCTTAGACTTGCTGCAATTCCCTCACTAAACTGCCCGCATGGCCTGCGTTTGTATAACTTGTAATATTCAAAAGTTTCTTGGACCACTACACAGTGAAATAATGCTGTCTCTTCATTATACTAGGCAAATCTCATATCAAATACAACAGATTCACACTGATGACAATAGACCAACATGGAATGAAGTCTTCTGACTGGATTTGTTTTAAAAGTAGAAACCACCAAACAGAGGAGACACGGGAGTACTATACAAGCAATTTGAATTAACAATAGTAAGCCAACCCCATGAAGGCAAAGCTTGATTCTCTATTGTTCTGTCTCACTGATGTTGTTCATGTCCTGTGAGCACTAGAGGGATACAAAACAGTCAGGAGGATGCTTGGTGTTTCAGTCTACTGTGTTCAAAGTGCACGGGTTCTAAATCACACACACACACAAAAAAAAAAAACACACACACGAGAGAGAGAGAGAGAGAGAGAGAGAGAGAGAGAGAGAGAGAGAGAGAGAGAGAGAGAGAAACACAGGCACCCCAGACACACACAGGCACACACAGACACACACACACACACTCATAATTTGTTATTAGTCAAATCACCACTATGAAAACATATCTTTTGTTCTGTTTTCTGTCCATAACTAAGATGAGCACAGATACATGTTATGTGGGTAGTTCAGTGATGCAGACCTCAGGTTTCACTGTCCATTGGGATGATCCGAGGAGGCCCATTAACTACGGACACCAAGTCCAAGCACACAGCAAATAAATGAAATGTCTTCTACAAAGGAGCCAGACACTGTCACTTGTACCTTCCCCAACCCTGGAATTTCTACCTTGAGCCACTAAAGACCTGTGCTGGAGGAAGGTTTGTGAGTCTGTATACATTAATTTCCAGTGAAAATCCATGGTCATTTTACCTACAAGGAAAGGGCTTACTTAATCTTTTCAAACAGAAATCAAAATTTTTTTAAAATCAATTAACATAGTCTTCATCCAATATCTTTATTTCATATGTGGTCTCTCTAATAACAGTGAATCAAAACAACAACAACAACAACAACAATTCTCCTATGTGTAGGACGTGTTCATACATATGATCTACAACTACAAGCTAATGAAAACACAAACAGATCAAATGTTTGCTAAGTAAGTATGATAAAAATTTATGCAATATGCTTGGTCATTAAATAGTCTTAATTAAGACTTTTAATGATGTCATACATAGGTACAGAAAGTCTCTGCCTGTTTCTATACCAACAGAGTATGAATAATGTACTGGTAGCATTCCTCACTTTTAGAAACCCTAATCATCTGACCACTTAGGTGGGATTTTTGCACTCCGTAAGTCATTAACGTATTCTGACTATAAATAAATAATAGCTGATATCCTTTCATGTAGATATTTGCTTTTAAAAATTACTCATTTTTCCATAGGATGCCTGAAGGGTGAAGTCTAGTCCACTAACTTGAGTAGAGACACAGCTGAGGCTATAGGAATGAGGACCTCTACAGACACAGGAGATCCAGAACCAAACAGAACAAAAGGCACTAAATTGATCATCTAACTGAAGTTACAACTTAGAAAAGAAAGAGTTTGGGTCAGGAGTTGCTATCAAAGTAAGAAGGCTAGGCGAGCAGAGACAGAGGAAAGCAATCTCACGTGGCAGAAGTAAGGTGATCGGGTGTGAGGCTGAGCTGAGCTGTGGCCAATTTCTCCTAAAAGATGCTGAATCTGAGCGTTATGATTTTGTTTCTGAAAGAAAAATCATCATTTCAACATTTAGTTTTGTACCTAAAATTGTTCTGTGTTTCCCATTGAACAATAATCTAGAAAGTGAACCATGGTCCACATGGGATAGTAGATACTGCTTAACAAGCTCCCTATTCTCATACCATTGGAGTTTTCTGTGGTCAAACATTCTATACCAGTCTGACCGATTATGGATGAGCCATCCGTATAATAAAGTTTTATTCTGGGTTAGGAGAAACAATTATGGACCTGTAATACCAGTGATTATCTAAGGATAGACAGTAGAGCCATTTACTATGAGTCTGAATCAAATAGTAACTAGAAATATGATGTCATGGGACAATTGTTTAGAAGAAACTGAAGAAAGAAAGACACTTAGGGGATGGTTCAGCAAGAGCTGATGACTCTTACCACCAGGAAAAGAAACTGGGCTCCCAAATTACCTTCATAATTTAGTCAGGAAAAAAAAAACCCTTAATTTGAGAGTAAACTGTTTATCAACACAAACAATAACAAGGAAAGAATGCTGCATGTGAGGACAGCAGCCCCTCAGCAGGGTATAAAAGGGGATGTGGGTGGGGAGACTCCCACTTCCAAACCTTCCAACCTGCCTACTTGTAAACCCATCCAGATCCTCCACCTCTAACACCATGGTCAACTCCTGTTGTGGCTCTGTCTGCTCTGAGGAAGGCTGTGGCCAAGGCTGCTGCCAGCCCAGCTGCTGCCAGACTACCTGTTGTAGGACCACCTGCTGCCGCCCCACCTGCTGTGTGTCTAGCTGTTGCAGACCCAGCTGCTGTGTGTCCAGCTGCTGCAGGCCCCAGTGCTGCCAGTCTGTGTGCTGCCAGCCCACCTGCTGCCGCCCCAGCTGCTGCATTTCTAGCTGCTGCAGGCCTTCCTGCTGCCGCCCCAGCTGCTGTGTGTCCAGCTGTTGCAGGCCTTCTTGTTGCATTTCTAGCTCCTGCAGGCCTTCCTGCTGCCGCCCCAGCTGCTGTGTGTCTAGCTGCTGCAGGCCCTCTTGCTGTACCTCTATCTGCTGCCGCCCCACCTGTTGCATTTCTAGCTGCTGCAGGCCTTCCTGCTGTCGCCCCAGCTGCTGTGTGTCCAGTTGCTGCAGACCCCAGTGCTGCATCTCCAGCTGCTGCCGCCCCATCTGTTGCCAGACCACCTGCTGCAGGACCACCTGTTGCCGCCCAGGATGCTCTAGTGGTTCTTGCTGCTGAGCACCAACATCCAGTCTCCTGTTCTTCATCACTCACCATGTAATGTAGAGATGAACTCCAAGATGCCAATCAAAGGCTCTATTCCAACAGAAAATAATTTTGGCCTCCAAATACACTGACCCTACTCCTGTCTGTTTATTACCTGTCTCTAAAATAATCATAAGGTTAAGTTTTCTCCTCAATCTGTAAAATTTGGCCTTATCCCCATGGACAAATTTGTTCTTTTCCATATTCCTAAAAATGGACATTCTCTTATATATTAAATAAATCTGAATTTTGCAGGCACACAAATATGTATCATGTCTCATTATTTTTCCTCTCAGATTGTTTTCTTCATCTGTCAAGTCCTGAAGCTGATTTCTAAGTAAAAAGACAGCACATGATCTCAGGTGTGCCAACACTGCCCCCATGGCACAGCTCCTCCTATTCAGAAGGATGCTCTCATAGAGCAAAGGCGTGGTCTTCTGTGCTAAAAGTTTTCTCTGGTTGAAAGGACAGCAGTAGGTAGGAGATTGAAGACCCTTGGACTGAGTTCTTTCAGTGAGGGGGTTGGGTGAGCACAAGCTGTTACTCATGCAGTCAAGAGACCACACATCACACAGCTTTCCCAAGCTCTCCAGTGGCTTGAAGCCCAGCTGCTACTGGAGGTGTTCTGCTCACACCAGTCCAGTTGACTTCTGTCATTCCCTAAGTTCACCTCAATACTTCCTGAGGTCACTTTCCTGATAAACTCCTTGTCTCAACTCCCAGTAGAGAGGCAGGCACCCCAAGGACAAGCAGCCTAACACCATGTTTCCAACCTCAGTGCCCCTTCCCTCCCATAGAAGTCCAATACAATACAGAGAGCTCCGTGGCTCAGGATCAAGTCTTGATTATTGCTTCACTGAACTCTAAATCTTCTGAAGATATTGCCTATTTATTGATTATTTTAAACTCTTTTTAATAATTGAGTTTTAATATATATTCTGGATATTGATTTCTCTGGGCAATGAATAGGTGCTAAAGATTTTTCTTTTTCTAGCCTATCTCTGAATTCTGTATTTTTTTTTTAACTTCTCAAGGATTTCTTGTGCATCTTGGTAAAGTATATAGGGATAGATAGGAAAAGTTAGAATCACGGTATATGTGAGAAAGGAGATGCAAATCAGTGCAGAATATAGAACTGATTAACTGTTGTTGTTTCCTTACATTAAGGGCAAGGCTGCTCCAGCAAAAAGGACAATGGTTTTTGGAGTACTGGAAAATGTATATTCTGGAAAGCAATGGTTAATGATCAAAGACCCAAATTAATGGTGCAAATGAATGGCATTGATACAGAAGGCTTGGTAGATATAAGAGCTAGTGTTAGGATACTTTCCCAAAAGTCTCAGCATCCAGATTGGCCACTTCAGAAGGTTTACATACAGTTTATAAGAATTGGTAAATTATCAAGATTAAGGCAAAGTGTCTGATGGATTAACTGTGTGGGATCAGAAGGTCAAACAGGGAAGTTAAAACCTTATGTGGCCAACATGCCCATAAATTTATGAGGAAGGGATCTTTCACAATAACAGGGTATGCAAATTAATAATACTGCAATTTCAGGGACAGCAAATGAGGAAATTAAGTGTGATATGGTAGATGCTCCTGGGGAAGATATTGACATGGGTGATTGAGAAAAATCACAATCTGTGTCCATGGTCCAAAACCAGGACATCACAGGGATCAAATTACCAAATTTATAAAAGGGGCTACTGCTGACATACCAATAGCCTTGCGCCTAAAATGGTTATTAAACTGACTTGTATGGTAAGAGCAGTGGCCTATAACAGAAGAAAAAATTGCAGGCACTTGAACGACTGGTAAAAGAACAGGTAGAGGCTTAACATATAGAAGATTCTACCAGCTCTGTGCTTTCTGTAAAAATGAAATTGAAAAAATGGAGGATGATAACTGATTTAAGAACAGTTACCAAAGTAATTCAACCAATGGGTCCTTTACAGCTTGGACTTCCTTTACCATCTTTGTTACCAAGATCATGGCCTAAAACAATAATTGACTTGAAAGATTGGTTTTTCACAATACCCTTGCATGACCAAGATGGGGAAAGGTTTGTATTTTTAGTACCTACTTTGAATATTAGTCATATACTAAAGAGATACCCTGGAAGGTATTTCCACAGGGAATGTAAATAGTCCAACTTTGTGTCAATATTTTGTGCTATAACCATTAGAAATAATTTGTAAACAATTCCCTTAGTCTATCATTTATAATTATATGGATGACATTTTGTCGGCTGATTTTGACAAAGATGTTTTAGAGAATATGTTTAAGGTAACACAAAGAATTCTGCCATGCTGGGGATTACAGATTACTCCAGAAAAAATACAAAGAGGAGATTCATTTAGATATTTTGGTTATAAAATCAATCAATGAAAAATTTGACCATAAAAGATACAGATCCATAGGGACCAATTGAAAAAACTTAATGATTTTCAAAAATTAATAGGAGATATTAACTGGCTGAGGCCTATAATTGGATTAAGTACATATGAGTTAAGTAATTTGTTTTAAATGTTACAAGGAAATTCAAATTTAAACAGTCCAAGATGTCTAACAGCTGAAGCAGAAAAAAAGTTAATTTTTGTAGAACAAAGATTGCAAGATGCATGTGTAGATCGAATTGATCCTAAGCTTGATTGTATATGGTCATTTTTGCCTTCAATTCATTCTCCTGCCTGTATTTTTTTTTTTAATGAGACCCATCATTTTGAAGTTTTGTTTTTATATTTCTCCTCTTGTGGTTTCTACTTTTCAATTCTTGAGTTAAATGTTTTATCCATTTTGAGTGAGCATTTGTCTAGCGGAAGGGCAAGGATTAATTTCAGTAGTCTACATGTGAATTTCCTGTTTTCCTAACATAAGGTGCAAAAGAGCCTCTTCTTCCTGGGTGCCCTGCCTGAACAGGATCAGGTACTGATGTGTTAGAGACCATAAGAGGAAGGTCAAAAGCTGATGACCTCTGGCCTTTAACTCTTTGTTACTTTTGGGGTCCAAAAGCTGTTAGCTTCTGGAAATTTCACACTTTCTCTTGTTCCAGAACTAAAGGATGATGGCTTCTGGCATTTAACTCCTGCTGATAGCGGGGGGGGGGGGGGGGGGGGGGGAAGATTAATGAAAGTCTCTTTTCTCTTTGAGTCAGTGACCTCTTGCTGGACAGTCAAGAGACTTAGAGTTCATTAACTCTTAGTAAACCAGAGAGAAAAGAAAAGAAAGGGAAGGGAAGGGAAGGGAAGGGAAGGGAAGGGAAGGGAAGGGAAGGGAAGGGAAGGAAAGGAAAGGAAAAGAAAAGAAAAGTCAGGCACATGCACAGACACATACACACAGTGGATGAAGCAGAAAAAGGCTACACCACCACTGTATTGCTGTCCTTAGTTTTTATACCTTCTCAGGATAATTGATCGCATGGTTTTTAAAGTATTTTTACATTCAATAAGTTCATACTAACTGTCACAGATCAATAAGGTTTAAAGAGTTACAGCGCAATTGTTTTCACATCTTTACATTAAGACTAGTAGCTGACTAAAAAGTCAATATCTGTTTTCTGACTTCATAAGTTCATTATAAGTTTAAAGTAATAATTTTATGTCATAAATTAGCATGGTTTTGTCAAGAGATGAATCATCTGCCTTATGTCTTAGTATTTTGAAGTCTTGTATAGATAAACTAGTCTATCATTTATTTTCCATTTTTGTACTTACAACAAGCTGCACATTCCCACTTTATGACCTTTAGTTACCAGATAATGGCCACATTCCTAATCTAGATGGAATGTTTTCCTAGCTTTATTCCAAACCAGTTTTCTTTCCCTAGTGCAATTAGCCCATGACACATGAAGTTTTACAGAGCTCTATTTGCAGCTTTTATTCTACAAGGGGTTTGAAATTATTTGTATCAATTTAGAAGTTCTAAAAAATTATCAGGAATTATGAAATCATCAATTTGTCTACACAGCATCACTACATGAAAGTACATCTGCATGAGTCTACAGTAGATCTGTCCAACACAGTATGTAAATAGCCAGAAAATCATTAAGCTAGTGGCAGAAAAGGCACATCATCAGAAAGAAGCAATCCTGGGATGAAGTCTCTGTGGGCTTTGCCTCCAGAGCACACCCCTCTCAGCTGTATAAAACAGTGAGCTTTCTCTAGAGAACTCACTTGTTTGCAATGGCCTTTCCTAGATGGCTTCTGACACGCCCCTCTTCCCCACTCTGTTCATAGCAACTTTATTAAAACTCAGATGGTGTGGGTTATTTCTGGATCTGCTATTACATGCCATGGATCTACATACTCATCTCTTCTTATGTTGTACTGTCCTGTTACTGTTACCACTCCTCTAGAGGGCAATTAGAGCTTGTGTATGATGCTTCCTACAACTAATTGAATAAGAAAGAAAACAGTAAATCAATTCCAGCGATAAAAGGCCCAAATATTCCCCTTCAAATAAATTATCAAATCCTACCTACAATTATATGGATTTCCTTAAAATAAAATATTCCTTGCGTGTTTGTAAAGCAATCCTAACATTTAAGAGAAGAGGAGAAGGGAAGGAAGGAAGGAAGGAAGGAAGGAAGGAAGGAAGGAAGGAAGGAAGGTGAAAGAAAGATGAAGGGAGGGAGAGAGAGAGGGAGAGAGAGAGAGAGAGAGAGAGAGAGAGGAGAGAGAGTGTAAAGACATTTTGTTTTGTGTTTGTTTTCTATTCTGCTGTCAGAATTCTTAAAACTATGTCCAACTGTTGGGTAAAATGGCTACAAATGCTGTGTTTAAGGATATTTGTATCTAAGCTGTCAGGAGAGGCATACTGAAAGCAAGCAAATCAATGTCTTAAGCTACATGATATCCTATGTAATTGTTCAAACTTTATCAGACAAGCAGTAATGAAATCAGATTAACAGGGTAGCCCTCAAATTTTGAAAGAGCATTAAGTCATTAAAAGCAAAACCAGAAAAAGAAATTTTGTTTTAATTGAAAATAGATATTTTTCATACAATATATTCTGATTATGGTTTTGCCTCCCCCAATTTCTTCCAAATCCTTCCCAACTCACTACCTACCCAAACTCACACCATTTTTAATCTCTCTCTCTCTCTTATTAAAATACAAGCAGGAATCTAACAATTAATACAAAAATAAGATAAAATAAAAAATGTGGAATAAGATGGTATAAAAAAAGAGAAAAATATCCTCAGAACAAGCACAAGAAACATATATAGATGCACACACACACACACACACACACACACTCAAATTCATACACACATTCACGCATACAAAATTTCCATAAAAACAGAGACTACAGTATACATGCAAAATACTTGTAAAGGGAAAAAGAAAGAAATAAATCAAAATGAAATTATTGCCTACAGAAAATATTTAGACAAGGAACCATCAAAAATGCCACTGAGTTTGTTTTGTGTTAGCCATCTACTACTGGGTACAAGGCATGCCTTTAGGAGTGGTTTGTATAACCAGTGAACCCCATATAAGTTATGTGACCCTATAAGTCCCACCTCAGAGACTAGGAAACTTGAGCTTTGTATAAAAATGAGAGATAGCCCAGATACCAGTCACCTAATTTGTGTATCTGGCCCTGATGCTAGTTATTAATTTCGTTTTATACCAGGTAAATTTTAGCAAAAATAGTATATAGACCTGTCTCTTCTGTTTAGTGTTTTTTTCTTTTAAAGCAAACCACATCATCAGGCTCCATGTTGATCTAGTCTCAGTAGTGTGGGTCTGTCCTAGTGGCTATGAGATCTTCCTATGTTCATGAAGAGATAGCATTATTTCATTGTACTCAAAGTAACTGTTGAATATTACAAGTGGCACAAATGCAGGTGATGTGGGCAGTTTGATGGGTACTTTCTTTTTTCCTCATTAATTAATTTATTCACCTTTCATTTCAATTGCAGTCCCCTCCTCTCAGACCTCACTTAATTCAGCCTTCTTCCCTTCTCCTCTAGGAAGGAGGAGGCCCCCCTGGGTACCATCCTAATCTGGTGCCTCAAGTAACTGCAGGACTAAGCATATCCTCTCCCACTCAGGCCAGAAAGTCCAGTCCAGTTAGGGGAACAGCATCCACAGGCAGGCAACAGGCTTGAGGAGTCTAATGGCAGATTTTCAAGTCTAAGGGTTTACTGGGATCACTTGTGGACTTCTAAAAATTTCTGGTATTCAGACTAGTTAAAAGTATTTGACAGTCTGTAATACTCTGCAGATGTCTCCCACGCATGTGTGTGTGTGTGTGTGTGTGTGTGTGTGTAAATGTGTGTGTGTAAATATATGTGTGTGTGTGTACATACATATGTATGTATTCAATTTCTTCCAATTGGATCATTCCTAAGTTCCCTGTACTGCTTTGTGTAGGGTTGAGACATCATGAGCTTTGCCCATCTGTGTTTGCATATCTATTGCTACTGTCCTTATTCAACTTATGTTCAACCATGTTGGTGAGACTCTATGGGTGGAACTTCTGACATTCCTAGGAGTCACAATCTCACAGCAAACTCCCTGAAGCTCTCTGGCTGTAACTATGTTTCTACTCCCTCTCCAACAATGATCCCCAGCCTTAGGTACAGGAGTTATGTTCTACATGTGCAAGCTGGGAATGGGCTCTATAACTCTACTAGTAACCAAGAAATCTTCCTACGCATGGTCACGTGGAAGCAGAGGTGTCCTTGTTACTGTAGCATTCCTGGGAAAACTCTCATCCAGGACATATACTTATTTAAATCCTTCATCTTTTCAAGTTCTACAAATATGAGAATATGAGAAAAAGACTGTAGACTAAGTGTTGGCTGAGCAAATTAATGTCATAAAAATATTGCAAAAGTCCTGGCCACTAAATGGCCCTAATTAAGAAACGTAATGGTGCTATCACACTGTTACTCCCTGTCTGTCTGCTTCTTGACTAACAGAGGATAGCAGAGGGACTGAAGCATTGCTCATTTTTGAAAGATAATTCATCTGGCTGATTGGATGGTTGCTCATGCCCTTTAAGCATTTACTGTGACCAGCATTAGATACATATAAATATTTTATTTACATATGTGATATATGCATACATATATCACATGTAGATCACACATATATCACATATGTATAATCACAAAACTGACACATGCATATATATATTCATGTACACAATGAAATTAAGAAATGAGTCTAATCCATCATTTGAAACATGAAGCTGGAGACTCTCAAGCTTAGAAACCCAAAGAAAGCAAGACATTTGGTTTAAATTAACATAAATGATAGTGCCACATGGTTATCCAATGTTAAAAAGTAAATCCTGGAAAAATTCAGCATAGGATTTTATAGCTTCTGTTCACCCAGAAGGAGAGTTTGACAAAAAAGGGAGAAATATCCCACAGGCCAGAGCTGAGAAACCTGAACTTGTGAGATACTTGAGATCTGTGACCCATAGGAAAGACAGGCCCCATAAATGACTAATAAATATTTTCTGGCAAAAACCAGGGGGTGCATAAACATTGACATTTCCCTATTCAGTTTCCCACTTTGAAATTGGTACAGAAAATGGAGAAGTCACAGGAGGAAAACCTTTCTTTGTTCATGTCTGTGGTCTCACTTTTCAAATCCTTAGTATCCACATGTCCCACTGTGGATGAGCTGTTGGAATGATGAATCTTTATCCTCCAACATTACTAGAAACAATTTTGAGTCTTTAGTAATCATGATTATCTAAGGGCAGACAGTAGAGCCATCTACCATGAGACTGAATCATATAGTGACTAGACACACATGGTCATGTGACAGCTGGAAGAAATTAAGGCAAGGAAGACACTTAGGAGATGGTTCATCAAAATATGATGGTGACTCTTAACACAGGAAAAGAAACTGTGTTTTCCATCTACCTTGATAATTTAGACAGGAAATGAAACTTGCCTAATTTGATAATCACCTATTTATTAACACAAACAATAACAAGGAAAGAATGCTGCATGTGAGGACAGCAGTCCCCTCAGCAGGGTATAAAAGGGGATGTGGGTAGGGAGACTCCCACTTCCAAACCTTCCAACCCACCTTCTTGTAAACTCATCCAGATCCTCCACCTCTAACATCATGGTCAGCTCCTGTTGCGGCTCTGTCTGCTCTGAGGAGGGCTGTGGCCAAGGCTGCTGCCAGCCCAGCTGCTGCCAGACTACCTGCTGTAGGACCACCTGCTGCCGCCCCACCTGCTGTGTGTCCAGCTGCTGCAGGCCCAGCTGTTGTGTGTCCAGCTGCTGCAGACCCCAGTGCTGCCAGTCTGTGTGCTGCCAGCCCACCTGCTGCCGCCCCAGCTGCTGCATTTCTAGCTGCTGCAGGCCTTCTTGCTGCCAACCAAGCTGCTGTGTGTCCAGCTGTTGCAGGCCTTCTTGTTGCATTTCTAGCTGCTGCAGGCCTTCCTGCTGCCGCCCCAGCTGCTGTGTGTCCAGCTGCTGCAGACCTTCTTGCTGCATTTCCAGCTGCTGCCGCCCCAGCTGCTGTGTTTCCAGTTGCTGCAGACCCCAGTGCTGCATCTCCAGCTGCTGCCGTCCCACCTGTTGCCAGACCACCTGTTGCCGCCCCACTTGCTGCCAGACCACTTGCTGCAGGACCACCTGTTGCCGCCCAGCATGCTCTAGTGGTTCTTGCTGCTAAGCACTGCCACCCACAGTCTCCTGTTCTTCATCACCCTCCACTTGTAATCTAGACCATTTGTTAGTTGAAACCTAAGACGCCAATCAAATCTTCTGTTCCAAGTGATAATGACTCTGTCCTCCAGAGTAAGCAGTACTCCAGCCTTCTTAGTATCTCTTTATAACATCAAACAAGTTTGTGTCTTCTCTGACATCTGTAAACTCTCACCTTATCCCAATAGAATACTTTGTTGTCTGCCATATGTTTAAAAAATGGAGATTTTTCTTCTGTGTTAAATAAATAAAATTGCAGCTATGCAAATATAAAGACAATTTGTTTCCTTGTTTCTTCTTCTCAAATGGCTGTCTCCATCTCTGAATTTCTACTTAGCCCATCTATAAATAACAAATTACAGCAAGTAGTTTCTAGTATTTCGACTCTGTACTCTGTTCCCTCTGCATCTTCCTCCCAATACAGGAAGATAATCTCATAGACCATGCACTTAGAAACTGCATTCCTAAAGACTTTCTCTGACAAGAGGGTTGGTTTTAAAAAGAAAGTCAAAGCCTCTAGGCAGAGCACTGGAGCAGGGAGAGGGTGGGTGAGCACATGATCTTTCTCCCTTCCCCTCGAATGCACACATCCTCCCAAAATCTCAAAGGTCTTGAGTAACTTGGGTTACTGGTGCCTCCTGGGGTGTCCTGCTGACTCTCTCTCTCTCTCTCTCTCCTTGCTTCTCTTCTCCGTGTCTTCAGTGACTTCTCTAATTCCCTATATCATGTTCTGGGAGTATTTCTCACATGAGTAACGTTATAACCTTCAGCATTGTGTCATGAAAACATACATTCCAAGACCCTTCTGATAATCTCAATATTGCTGCCATTCAACATTTCTTCCACACAATATGGAGATTCCATGTGGTTCTAGTTTGGTTTTGGTTGCTGTGATAAATACTATATCCCAAATCAACTCGGGAGGAAAGAGTTTACTTCAGGTTACAGTTTGCAGTCCATCATAGAAGGAAGCTTCGACAGGAACTTAGAAACAAGAACTAACGCAGAGACCTCTGAATAATTCTACCCCACTGGCTTGCTTTGCTTTCTTATTCAACATTGAGCCACCTTTCCAGGGGTAGCACCACCCATTTCCACGTAACTCATTAATCAAGACAATGTTTCACAAACATGTGCATCAGCGAATCCAATGGAGGCAATTCCTCAGTTGAGGTTCCCTCTAGTTTATGTCAAGTGGACAAAAGTTAGCTAGCACACCATGGTTTAAAATCAACTTCCTAGGTTGATATGAACATAGTAGAGCATGTGTCCTTGTTATATGTTGGAGCATCTTTCGAGTATATGCCCAGGAAGGGTATCACTGGATCCACAAGTAATACTGTGTTCAATTTTCTATAAGCATAAAGGAGGAGGGAGGATGGGATAAGGTGTTCTAGGGAGGGGAAATGGGGAAAGCGGATGACATCTGTATTGTAAATAAATAAAGTATCCAATAAAAAAATTAAAAATAAAATAAAAGATAAAACATAAAATAAATAAGAAAATAAGTTAAAAATAAAAAAAATTAAAAAGTCAACTTTCAATTTGGTGACTAGTGAAATGTTACTTGTTGAGCATATGTTCTTGTATCTGCCTTATATTTTATTTTGCACTGTTTTTGGTTATACTAGCTGTCTTTAAGATTTTGTTACTTTTAGTTCTCAGTGAAGCCATTACTGTACAGTTCTGCTACAAATAGACTTTGGTGTCTGTCTTAGTTAAGATTTTGTTGCTGTAAGCAGACACCATGACCAAGGCAAGTCTTATAAAGGACAGCATTTAATTGGGGATGGCTTACAGGTTCAGAGGTTCCGTACATTGTCATCAAGGTGGGAGCATGGCAGCATCCAGGCAGGCACAGTACTGAAGGGGCTGAGAGTTCTACATCTTTATCTAAAGGCCGCTAGAAGAATACTCACTTCCAGGCAACTGGGACTAGGATATTAAAGCCCACAGCGACAGTGATACACCTACTCCAACAAGGACACACCTCTTAAATAGTGTCATTCCCTGGCACTACCTACAAACAATCACATTCCACTTTCTGGCCCCTTAGGCTTGCTCAAACACATGAGTCTATGGGGACCATACCTAAACATAGCATAATGCAAAATACATTTAGTCCAACTTCTAGAGTTGTCAGAGCAGTCTCAACAATGTTAGAAGTCTAAAGTTCAAAGTATCTTCTGAGATTTGTCCAATCACTTAACCATAATCCCCAAACCAAGACAGGAAACCAGCTGAGCAAACTCCAAACTCTGCATCTCCTGTGTGATGTCAAAGCGGTCTTCAGACCTCCAACTCCTTTTCATCTTTGTTGACTGCAACAAACTTCTTTCCCCTGGGCTGGTTCCATTTTCTCAGCAGATAGCCCATGACTCTGGCATCTCAAACATCTTGGGGTCTCCAAGGTAACTTCCATGTTACAGCTTTTTGTTTTAATGTCTGGAATCTACAGATGATCATCTGGGCTTCTCCAACTCTGCCCTTGTAGCACTCTAAGCTCAGGTTGAACCACTCCATTGCTGCTGCTGTTCTTGGTCATCATCCCACGGTACTGGCATCTCCAATATGATGGGGTCTTCCATTACAACTAGGCTTCACCAATAGCCTGCCTCTATAGGCTCTCTATATAGTGCCAAAATCCAAATCCTTTGTATGACTCCTTCAGGCCTGGGCAGCTGAGGCTGCACCTTTACCAATGGCCTTCCATGGCTTCTCACAGTGCCAAGCAGCATCAGCTGCTCTTCATGACCCCTTCATGCCTTCAAAACCAGTACCATCTGAGTAACTCTTACACATCACCAAGTACAGCTGCAGCACAAGGTACAACCTTGGCTATTTCTGGATCACAGCTTCTTTGTGCTCTCAGAAAACACTTCTCAGAAGATTTCACCTCAGTGATGCTGGTCTCTTCTTAATCACCACTAATTTCTTAGCTCCAGCTAACCAGCATCAATTGTTCTAGTAGTCCCTTCTATTCTGGACTCTAAAGCCAGAGCCAGTGGCCAAAGATGCCAAATTCTGCTGCTCTCTGGGACTGGAACATGGCTCCCTTGTTCTATTACATTATTACTAGCGTCCTCTTTTCCAATTCCTTCACTGCCTAAGCTTGGCTGTCCTGGATCTTGTTCTGTAATTGACTTTGAGCTTTTCTTCACCTTGAACTTGCTCTGTCTCAGGCTGGCCTTGAACTCAGAGATCTGCTTAACTCTATCTCCTGGATTAAAGATGTATATCACCATACCCGGATCTAAGTTTAGCTGGGTAGGATCTTGCCCTGAAGTCCCACTCCCTTAATTTGTTATCTCCTTAAACAAAGGATTCAGCTCCATTTCACTTCCAGGTACCACTTTAATATTCAAATCATATATTTTATATTTTTCCATTCTCAGATTACTTCACTTGTTTAAAATGCTCTTCCTGAGACTTAACCAGAGAACAAAGTCTATGATGGGTGTTTCTGAAACTTCCTTTGTGAATGCAATTAGTCTGAGTTTCTAGTCTCTTCACCTTAGCCTCAGGCAAGGGCAAACGAACAGCCACATTATTCACCAAAATACCACAAAATCAATCTCTAGGCCACATAATGTAGGTCTCCTCCACTGAAACCTCTTGGGCCATGTCTGCACAATTCAAATCACTCACAATGAAAAAGTCTTCCATATTCCTACTAGGATGGCTCATTAAGCCCCACTTAAAACATTCCATTGCTTTCCAAATCCAAAGTCCCAAAATCCACTTCTTCCAAACAAAAGCATGGTCAGGCCTATCACAGCACTACCCCAGTCCCTGGTATCAATTTCTGTCTTAATTAGCATTTTATTGCTGTAAACAGACACTAAGGCAAGTCTTATAAAGGACAACATACAAAGGCTGGCTTACAAGTTCAGAGGTTCAGTCCATTATCATCAAGGTGGGAGCATGGCAGCAACCAGGCAGACATGATGCTGGAGGAGCTGACAGTTCTACATCTTCATCTGAAAGCTGATAGCAGAATGCTCACTTCCAGGCAGCTAGGACTAGGGCTTTAAAACCCACACCCACAGTGACACACCTACTCCAACAAGGCCACACCTCCTAATAGTGCCGTTCCTTGGGCCAAGAATATACAAACCAGCACAGTGTCACATATTCATACATGAAGAGGAAGTGTCTTGTATTGATTTGTGTTTACCCCATCTGCCCCTGCTTGACCCTCTCTAATAATCTCCTTTCTCTTTCCTATTTACACACTGTATGCATTTTAATTTCAAATATTTTCTTTTTTGTATGTGTGTTGCCGGCCAGCGGCCACAGTCAACCAGGTTCACCTGAAAGAGGCTGGGAATGGAAGAAGGGACAGGAGGGTGGGAAGAGATGAAGCCAGGACAAAGGTTTCTGATCGAGGCTCCATGCTTTAATGTTCATCCTTCAATTTAAAGGGGAAGCCCCACCTCCACCACCGAACCCCTTCATACTTCAACCCAGCTTGAGTGAGGGGAATCCATCCTTAATTGAAAGGCCCAAGATGTCTCAAGGCAAGCTCAGCAGGCAGTCTATTCTTCTCAGCTTGTGTACCAGGCTATAGGCAACCAAGGAGGCACCAAGGCAGGCAATGCCTCCGGAGTCCTATTGTTTGGTCTATTGTGGTAAACAAGGTCTCTCAGGCCTGCTCAAGGCTGGGGGAAGGGCACATACGTGGCATATACATATTTATGTGTGTATGCATGTACATATACATGCATATATACATGTGTGTATGCATGCATGTGTACATACATGCATACATATATATGTGTGTGTGTGTGTGTGTTTGTGTGTGTGTGTATGAGAGAAAGATACACGAGAAAATATCTGATACTTAAATTTTTGAATATGGCTACTTTTGCTTAACACAGTAAGTTCTAATTCCATCCACTTTCCTTTATGGTTGTATTCTTAATAGCTGGTTAATCCCTCACTGTGTGCACATATTACACTGTATGT